ACTGGCTGCCCAGTCCGGCAATTTCTGAACAAGTTTTTGGTTTTCTTGGTAATCATTCAGAATCTGAAGGCCTTTGACATGAGGCATGGCATTTTCACATGCACTCAGAAAGTCAGAGAAGTTGCGAAGACCCATTGCATCCTTTGAACTAATTTTTGGCCAATTAGCTAATTTTTCTCTAAAGGCTCTTTGAATGGAAAATGGCTGACCATAGCGACCATTTAGTTTCTCCCAGGCGTCATGATATGCTTCGTCATCAGTTCGAAAGAAAATGCCCTCCAAAGCTCTACTCACAGGGCCACTCACATACCTTTTAAGATAAAACAATTTTTCAGCAGACGAGGTACATTTTCCTTCAATAAGTGCAATGAATGAAATTTTCCACTCAATAAATCGAATAGGATCTCCTGTAAAAACTGGAGGTTCCGGTACTGGCAATCGATTTAAGGCAAGACTGTCCTGAAAGACAGAAGCTGAAATGGGTATCCCAGAAGTCACTTGAGTTTGTGATGCACCTTGCTTTCTTTCAAGTTTTACCAAAGAAGCATCTTGCTTGCTTTTAATCTTAACACATTCTGAATATGACATAGCTTCTTTAACGATCTCTTTGTCATAAACCTCCAATTTAGCTTGTGCAGCCTTTACATCTTTTTTCGCTTGTATCCGCTCCAACTCTTTCACTTCTGCTTCAATAGCCCTTTTATGCTGCTCTTCCAATTGTTGTATCCTTTCCTTATGTTTTGTTTCTTCTAATAGAGAATCATAAACAGCTTGCTTAGCCGCTAGATTTGCAGCAGCATCTACTCTTTTAGCTGCTAAACTAGAAACGACAGAGCATTGACTAGAATGACTGCATTGACTAGAATGACTGCTAGTCCCTTGACTGACGCATGAAACAGTTGACCCAAAAATTGAGCGTGCATGCTTGTGATCTAACAACATTTGAAGACGCCCCCTTTCCCTTTCAGCATCAAATTCTTCATCCACACCTGATATCCTTCCATGAATTATTTTAATGATATCAGCGGTGACAGCTTCACACGCATCAATTTTTCGTCTCATTTCCATAGTGGGTAACGTACGGTTTCTGAAATCATCATATTCCTTTAAAACATTGTTTTTTGCTGCCTCTAAATCATCAATTACCATAGCTAATTGAGTAACTGTAATATCAGTTTTAAGACGTTCACGAGCACTACGGGCCTCAACTTTCCACTTATCATATAAACGAGTAATTCTTTTTTCTCTTTTTTGTGACTCTTCCTGTTGGTATGACTGCATTTTTTCTGTAAGAATGGGAACACGTTTTGAGTGACGCACATTCTCACTTTGAGTATCAACACAATCATCCACTCGCTTATTTAGATCGTTTACACCTGCATCTGACTTCGACATTTTCTCTTTTATATTTACGCTTAAAGAACAAATATTGGCGACATTCACATTCAGTAACATACACAATCGGTGTGACAATCAGGAAAATACAAACTGAACACATTAAGAAATCATCACACAATATGAAATTACTCAATATTCAGTCCATTAATAAAGTGAAAACACGCTAATGTCCATTGCAAGCTTAAATACGAAACCTAAAGCAAAGTTGTCCATTCAGAACTCATCTGATAAACAGTTCAATCCATAGTACTCACTGCGGTCCATGTAAACAAACCGGACTTCCTTATCCAGTTCATTCGACCCCGTTTGCTTGCTACACGCTGAGCCGAGTCCTTTAACTTAGTTGATCTTTTGATCCATCATCAGCCGCGACGATCACGCAGTTCCCAACGCAATCGAAAGCAGAAAAGCCAGAAGGAGCAACGCCGCCTTTTCCTCCAAGTGAAGCAACGCAGCTCATCTTGTTGACAAGGTTGCCGGGCCGATAAAATAAGTTCTTACTGTTGCGTCCTGGTTAAAAGATGACTAAGTCTTCCACTGATGTTCACGATTAGTTTATTGGTCACACTTCATAGAATTTGTTCACATTATTCATTCGTGAATCACCGTAAGAACTAGAGAGAAAATAAACAAACAACAAATACAAATAAATCCCGAAAATTAACGCTAAGTCAACATCAACAATTAAACGATAAACAAATAAACCAAATTACCTTATTTTTCCATCAAACCAGGAGCTATAACTCATGAAGGAGGAACCCGTGAAGCTACCGTATACATGTACCCCTTTTACCGTGTTTTTCCTAGCGTTCCATCGTTTTCATTCACTCCTACACGCAATTTATACATCCGGTAAACTCCGCAATTTTGACGTCATAATCAAAGTCCCCAAACAACGTAATTCATTCAAACAATCAACCCGTATACAAAATACAACAAAACATAAAAAATAAAGAAATAAATAAATTCAAAATCATAAACAAAGTAACACATTATTTCAAGTTTCTTTACACGTTGTATAACCTTTATTTTTATCCACAATCTTACTTAGATTTCTCTTAGATTTCACTCCCACAGCATCTTATATCATGTACCTTACACTCAGTATATACGCTAAGGCAGGGGTTCTCCACTGGTTTGGCCATGGGACCCACATTTTCCATGGTCATCAAGCTGCAACCCAAATTTTTAAGAACTATAATACAATTTAAGGAATTATAATTAATTTGTATTTATTTGTTAACATACAGTAGTGACAGATAAATCATAAGAAAATCCTCAAGACCTACAAATAAACATTTTTTTATTGCTGTCATTTAACAAAATGTATTAAATTATAGAAATATTACAAAGTAAAAACGACAAATACTGTAAACAATGGTTAGGGTAAGGAAAAGTTCAGTTACCATGAACCAAAATGAACTGTTAATAAACATGTTGTCTGGTTTCTAAATGTCGTTTTAATTTAGGAGGTTTCATGCTCTCTTGTGAGACCACCTTACGACACACTGAGGCTTTAAGTCTTTTTTGTCGTCAATATATGTACATCCATACTTTACATATTCAGGTTCGTACTTGCGCTTCAACATATTTGTTGCTATAATTAAATGAAATTTCACATGTCAAACAGTAAGGTTGTCGTGCACGCATTTCAAAATAAAAGTCAAAATAAGTAAAAAATTAAACTTTTAATTTTAACACTACGCAACCCACTGAACCCACCAGTTGAGAAACACTGCGCTAAGGCTTCCTCTACTCTAGTACACCTAAAACATGGATTTCTGTAAAATCCGTCAATGGCAGGGAAGCACAGAAGAGTTAAAAGAAACCATTTATTGTTTGTACGCACACCATAATACCAGTTATACATGAAAAGCACAAATAATGTTCTTCAATTAGGTCACATTCAGCGGCCGTCATTCTTGAATCAATCTCCATCATTGTAAGCTGCTTGCTGTTCTGTCTGTTCCACTGCTCTTTTTGTTAGATGTTTGCTTCAACTTTCTTTTGCAGTCTGAAGCACATCTAACACACAAAATGCCCAATTTGCGCCACAGGATGTCTAATCCAATCTTTGCTATGACTTCACTTGCGCTTTATCCGCATCTGCTTACTGCACAGGCTGCAAAACAACCCCCCTCCTTTCATGTACTGATTGTGAGGGTGCAGGTGAGACATCATTTCTGAGACCCTCAAAATTTAGCATTTTATTAAGAAATTTGCAGGATCACAAAAATGTTCCAACTTTTTGTTGATTTTGCGTTGGATTCAGCAATCACAGAATAGCGAAACACTTGGGGGTCTGTTTAATAAAGTAAATAGGCTAAATTAAAAAAAAAGCTTGTAACTTTGAGCACACTGGCTCTTCATCTGACAGTGTTCATTCCAGCTGTTTGGTTCAGCACCTATCCATAGTGATGTGCATGCTGTTGTGCATTTTTACATTTACTTACATATTTATTTCTTGAACTTTGGTTTTAATGTTCATTTAACAAGTTAGTTTTTATTATTATTCAGATTATAGGTGATTTAAATCCAATATTATTTTACAACTGCTGTATTGTTATCAATAATTTATGAATGTAATAGTGTGTGTACACTTTTTTTGGCATATCAAGACACAAATGTGTGTAATGAAATGAGTATGACAAGAATTACAAGGTGATGAATTATGAGGACATTACTTATGTCCTCATTTCAAAAGTCTTGTACAAACCACACAGAACTATTGTTATTTTATTATTATTATTTACACAGTTTCCTATGAGGGTTGGGTTTAAGAGTAGAGGAGAGAAAATTTACAGTTCGTACAGTATAAAAACAATTGAAACCTATGTAATGTCCCCACAATTCACAAAAACAAACCAGTGTGTAGATAAGTAGATAAATAAGCGTGCACGCACACACGCGCGCACACACAGAAAATTATTAGCACTATTATAATAACTATTATTAATTATTAGCACCCACAGAAAATTATTAGCACTCCTGTGAAATTAATTTCTTGAATGTTTTCCCACATGATGTGTATCACAGCAAGGAAATATTTTGCGGTATTTTCTAATTAAAAACATAAAAACTGCAAAGATAGTTTTATTATTTAAATATTTAATATTTTATTTCGATGGCATACACAGAACACCACAATTGAATAACAAAGAGTAACATCACTGTTGAACAATAATGTGCCTAATTAACTTGCTAATTAAATTGTATATTAGTATCTTGAAGCAAAGTAGTAGCAAACTAATAATTTAAATAACTACTGTCTTTGACAAAAAAAATAATATAAAAATTTGTAATAATAATATCAATCTAGGTGATAACAACTGCAGTTACTCACAAAGCAAGATGCTTATGCCCATCATTAGAGGATTTTGGATTCATATTTTGAGAACTTTCATCTCCCCTACTACGTATTTTTCTTTATCATGTTTTTTTTTTGTTAATTTTTGATATTTTATTTATTTATACATGTCGTATTATTATTAATGAGGATGGAAAGCTTGTGCATGTATGTAAACTGATTGTTATCTCAGTCTTTTTTGTAATTTTTCAAAGCACTGTTAAAAAAAAATGTAATAAAAATTTCAGTTACTCACCTAAGGGGAATAAAGATGATGCCATTGATGATATTAAGCTGCTCCAGAACACTGGCCATGCTTGGTGCCGTAAACTGCAAAGAACAACAAATTAACCCATCAACCAAAAATGGCACTTGTAACAATTTTCAACCATATGAGTGAGGCTCAGGATGGCAGAGGTGTGTGACTGACCTTGAGAGGCATTATGCTAGCATTGGAGCCGTTTTTGTAGATCTCGTTCATGGTTCTCTGTAGAGCCACGGCCTGCTGCGTGAGGTACTTCAAGTACTCTGAGCTCTCCTTCGTCTTCTCATGTGCTTCGCCAACCTAAAACACAAGTGTTGCTTATTTCAGAATAAAACATTTGATGTAATATTGTGGTATACATCAGTGCATTACAACAACGTTATTATTGTCACCAATGTGTTGGTTCTATTTGCAAATGATTACACAATCCAACGTAAAGTGCTACACCGTTTTAAACCGAATTTTTTTGAGGTCATTGCTTTATGTATTATATGAAAAGCAGCAGCACAGAAATCAGGAAAATAGAAGAATGAATGAAACACTTTATCAAATGTGATCTAGAGATTCAGCTTCAATCAGATACATCTAGACAATTAAATTAAAAATTTTGCTTACATATTAGGAGTATTATTCATACATTTTTGAAATTGTTGAAAAAAAAGACACATTTTGTCAGTTTGTTTTAAACCTGGGTGTATCTGCTGGTGTTAAAAATATCCAATCCAATTCAATGATACTAATGGTCTCATCTGATTCAATGATTTATTCTAAGCTATGCTAAAAGCGCTCCCATCAGACTTGGAAGTTGGCTAAATTGATTAAAAAATGGTAAAACTTAACTGTTATAAAGTTGAGCTACAAAATTAGCCTATTTCCACTAGAAGTGGAAGTACTTCTTTAAATATTCTGGATATGAATATTTAAACACCAACTAAGCTAAAAATGATGACTGTGGCAAGGAAAACATTTTTTCCCCCACAGATTCTCTATAGTCTCTACTAATTTCTCTTCTAATCACACTGATGCCGTGGATATTCTGATGGATGTCCGCTCCAGGACAGAGTGGCCTAGTGGCTGTCTGACGTTTGTATACTTGAGATATTGAGATATCGTTCAGAATTGTACACATGCACCCACTAGGAAATTCTTAGGCTATCTGTGTTTTAACCAATCAGGTTAAAACACCTAAGGTCGAAGTCAAAATTATAAGCCCCCCCCCTTTGATTTTTTTTTTTTCTTTTTTCAATATTTCCCAAATGATGTTTAACAGTGCAAGGAAATATTCACAGTATGTCTGATAATATTTTTTCTTCTAGAGAAAGTCGTATTTGTTTTATTTCGGCTAGAATAAAAGCAGTTTTAATTTTTTAAAAGCCATTTTACGGTCAAAATTATTAGCCCCTTTTAGCTATATATATTTTTTCCGATAGTCTACAGAACAAACCATCATTAGACAATAACTTGCCTAATTACCTTAACCTGCCTAGTTAACCTAATTAACCCAGTTAAGCCTTTAAATGTCACTTTAAGCTGAATAGAAGTGTCTTGAAAAACATCTAGTCAAATATTATTTACTGTCATCATGGCAAAGACAAAATAAATCAGTTATTAGAAATAAGTTATTAAAACTATTTTGTTTAGAAATGTGTTGAAAAAAATCTCTCCCTTAAACAGAAATTGGGGGAAAAAATAAACAGGCTAATAATTCAAGGGGGCTAATAATTCTGACTTCAACTGTATATGTATGATGCAGTTAATGACGTTACTTAAAAGTATAATTGTTAATGCTCTGAGATTGTAAGCAGATCGGTCTACAAACTCATTGCGAGTGTTGAAGCTGGCTTCTGCTGATGAGACTGCAAACTATCTTTAGTAAACTTTTTCTAATTGAATCTCTAACTCTGGCTCTTCTTCATATGACAGACTGGTCATTTTTTGGGTTCAAACTGTAAATTATCCCCACAACACCTTAACGCAACTGATACACAAATGAAATTAGATGTACCTGGTTCTTGTATATAGTATATCCCTCCTTCTCATGCTGAAGTGCAGAGCGAAACTCAGCCTTGCTCTCATAAACTCTGGCCACCAGGTGATGACTGCAGAACAACAGACATCATAAATGTTAACAAACATTTCTACCACACGTCACTAGTGAGTATGAGTACAGTCATACATATTTACCTGAGGGCTACTTTCAAGGATCGCGGCCCGTGGTATTTTGTGTTGATGGCCAGCGCGTTCTCCAGGAAACGCAGAGACAGGTCATACTCCATCACACCATGAAGCACCAGACCAATATTGCTCTACATCAGAGAATAGGATCACAGTAAGAGGATGACGTTGCTCCACAAGCCTCAACTTAAGGGGCCACAGGAATTCAGCTAGCTCTTGTTAACCTTGGTTAACTTCAAAAAAAGAATCAGAAGATGGGCAGAGGCTGAAATAAACTGCTTACATCGAGCAGAGCCATTTCAGGATGGTCCTCTCCACAGACCACGAGCATGAGGTAGCGAGCACGATACAGCAGCTTCAGGGCAGTGGACAGCTGACCGTTAGCAAAGCAGTACAGTGCTAAGTGCATCTGCGGAAAACAAACACAACATTTAGACATAACTGACACAGTTAGTTTTTGTTAAATTTGCTAACAAATCATTTTTGTTAGTTCACCATTTTTTTTACACTTCCGAAAACAGTAACTAAATAAAACAGTGAAACCAAATTGTTAGTGTCGGAATAAAAAAAAAAAAAAAAAAAAAATTATATATACACACACATATATATATATATATATAAATATATATATATATATATATATATATATATATATATATATATATATATAATTTTTTTTTTTTTTTTCCGACACAAATGTATATATATACATATATACATATATATATATATACATATATATATATATACATATATATATATATATATATATATTAGGGATGTGCGGAGCAGCCGGTATTTGTATTTGTATTTGTTGAGGGGGGAAAAGTATTTGTATTTGTATTTGTATTTGTATTTGTATCAGAGTAAAATTCAAAATGGCGCAAAAATATATATTTTTTCTATTACACTTCTAATTTACGTTATAGTGAAAGTATTGTTTAATTATACCCATTATATAAATTATAGATATGCAATATTGGCTGTTGTTTTTGAACATGTGACAAGAAATGTCATTGAAAAGAAAATAACATAGAAGCCATTATTTCATCCATGGTTAAACCTACAACTAATAAAATACCATTGTGAATATTATGAACCCCACCACCACCGTTCTTGTTAAAGGACACTGAATAGACAGAATAAAAACAAATAATACTTCAAAAAACTGTTCTTCTTCTGAAAGAACTTCTTTCCAATGCACAGAATTCCAAAAACTAAAATTAACTAAATTAATCTAAATAAAACCCTGCCTGGGGAATCTGGCAGAACAAAAGTATTCTATATAATACTAAAAGATACAGCCCTGCTATTGTCATCTGCCTGCCACAAAACATACACAAAGTTTGTTTGTTTGTTTATTTAGAGATATCTGCAAATATTTTTCAATGGAAGTCAATGAAGGAATATGACTAGTCAGTCATAATATATTTGCAGATATTTCCAATCTGACTAGTCGAATTATAATTATGACAAGTCAAAATATAATTAGAGATATCTCTAAATATATTTATGGATAGTCTGAACAAGGTTTAAATGCTAAAACGGCTTGCCATACGCTTTCACCCAGTAGCACAGTGGAGATTTCTCTAGTTATATCCTTTCAGTCGTTTGTTATGCATTGACATGCAGTCAAATATTTCGCCAAACAGTCCTTAGGGATGCGGTGACACGCAGTCAGATATTTTACCGGACAGATCCGCCACTTTAGGCGCGCATAAACAATCATAGAGCTCTCGTGCTGCAGGAATGAGGAGGTCTGCTGAAGGCGCGCAGCTGACGTGCAGTGAGAGGTTTGCGTCTTTAATAAACTACGGCAGTTTGCGATCACTGAACAGTAAGATTGATTAATAAATCCATATGAAACAGTCCCTTAAAAGTCACGTCTTGCTTTCAGTTTCGGGCTTTGGCGCGATTTGCACTGAGCGTCTGTCTCTCTCTGTCTCTGTCTCTGTCTCTCTCTCTCTCTCTCTCTCTCTCTCTCTCTCTCTCTCTCTCTCTCTCTCTCTCTCTCTCTCTCTCTCTCTCTCTCTCTCTCTCTCTCTCTCTCTCTCTCTCTCTCTCTCTCTCTCTCTCTCTCTCTCTCTCTCTCTCTCTCTCTCTCTCTCTCTCTCTCTCTCACGCGGGCATGCACTGTGGTCTCACGAGGAGACGCTGCTTTTTGATATAGTGTTTTTCTTGCTCCCGAATACAAATAATTTTTTAAGTATTTGTTCGAATCAAGTATTCGTAAAAACACGCTATTCGTGCCTTTCCGAATACCGTATTCGGGTTCGGCTCCACCCTTTATATATATATATATATATATATATATATATATATATATATATATATATATATATATATACATACACACACACACACACACACACACACACACACACACACACACACACACACACACACACACATTTCTAATCTGTTTAACATCGTATCATGATATATACATACATACATACATACATGTAGATAAAAGTTCTTTAAATGATCGTATCTATTGTGTACACACACACACCCAACACGCATCCGAGTCACATAAGGCTTACCATATATATATATTTATATATATTTATATATATATATATATATATATATATATATATATATATATATATATATATATATATATATAAAATTTTAAAAGCATAGGATCCATTTGCTCTATATGTCACCACTTTGATTGCAAACTTTGGTGGAGTACCGAATCTTCTCTATTGTAAGATGGCACATAAGATCCCTAATCCAATGATGAAAAGTTGGAGGAAATTTGTCCTTCCATTTGAGCAGTTAAGGACGTCTAGCAATTAATGTCGAAAAAGAAATCCTACTTTTGGTTTTATTGTCAAAACTTGGATCTGTAATTAAACCAAATATTCCTTCAATAGGGCGAGGGTCAATTGATACATGTAAAATATTTGAAAAGAAATTAAATACTAATTGCCAGAACTTGGTAAGTTTAGAACATGACCAGAACACGTGTGTGTGCTTAGCGGTCTCTATTTTACATCGATTACATAAGGGATTTATAGTTGGTGAAAATTTTACTAATTTTGCTTTTGTCCAATGTAGATAATGGACCACTTTAAATTCAGGGGGACTTTAAACAGTGATCAATGCCCATATTTGCCCACTCCTATTAACGCAATGCTTCAAGTGGACTATATTAGTTGAGAGTAGCTTCACATATCCTGAAAAGTGAAGTAAAAATTATAGATCTCTGGTGGCAGTTAACAGTACAGATTATTAACCTGGCCCGAACCATTCAGACAAAAGCAAAAAAAAAAAAAAAACTATTTATTAGAACACTTTAATATTATTTTTAACCAAGTTTGTATTTTAGGTAGTTCTGATCACATTGATGTATGTGCAGGTGTATAATTTTCTAATACAACAATCATGCAAAGAATGTGGAGGAGTAGCTGTTCCATCAACAATCGTCAATAAATTTGTTTCTGCAAACGACATCATTTGCTCCATCAGAAAGAAAACAGCCTTCTTAAGACTTAGAAGAGTTGTGTTAATAACATGCATGTAGACACTTACATATTCTTGAATAGTATTGGGATGTTCAATACCCAGCACTCTCTCACTCATCAGCACAGCCTTCTGCTGGTTGCTCAGAGCCTTAAAAAGAGAAGGAAAAAACTCAGCATCACTACATGCTAAAATAAACAAATATATAAATTATAGGAGTAATAAATTCAAATTGTCAGCGTTTTAATAGTTTATAAGCACTGAGGTAAGTGGCAAGAGGAACATGTTGGATAACTATTCGGTGATTTTCTTTATATCCATTTGATCATAAAGAGGGCCAGATACAATCTGAAGGCATTTTTGCTATTTCTAGGCAGAATTTTGGAAAAAAAAATAAATCTGTGGATTCATACAGAATGATTTTGGAAGTATCGTAACTAAAAACTTAATATATCAATAAAATAACATGTTTTTATCTTTTATTTAATGATGAAAATGCAAATCCAATTAGATCCACTTAATTGGTAAATAAAGCAAGTCTCTCATATCGTATAACATAATTACTAAAAGACAGAAAATATTATTTTACAAACTGCATCGTAAATAAATCATATAAACATTTTCATATTAGTCAATAATATTGCTAAAATTAGGGGTGTCAAAATTAATTGTTTCTTCGGTGCACGGCGATGCAGACGCGGACAATAAGGTATCGGTTCAGTAATAATCATAACCGGTTATTATGGACTGACGTCATTTATCTCCTATGCGCTCTGTCGCGAGGGAGGTGAGCGCGAGTATTTACAACACTCAGCCAACTCAGGGCCGGCCCGTGGCATAGGCACCATAGGCAAATGCTAAGGGTGCTGTATATCCAGGCGAGCACCAGAAAGGAGCGCGGTTCAGTTGGTTTTGTTTTCGCTATTTCTGACACACATTCAGTTATAGACGGCAATAACTAAAAAACCTCTTACCCTAAAAAGATCTAAAGTGTGTTACCAACAAAACGACAAAGCTGGTTATGTTTCACAGCTGTCTTTCTTTTTTTCATTTATTTATTTTATTTATTTATTTTTTTCGCTCGACATTTCGAGCACTGCTCCGTTTAAGCCCTCGCAATATGTGTTTAGCTGGGAGAGCTTGCGCTGAGAGGAGCTCTCAGTAAGGGACTGTCTGAAAAGTGCTTCTTTTTTTCGTTGGTTTTTTTTTTTTTCGTTGGTTTTTCTGCTCCGCTCAGCGCGAGCTCAAGTGTGTTTGTGTGCATGTGTGTGTGTTTGTTTCTTTGGTGCTGTCTATGTTTGTGTGTTTGAATGAGAGACAGTGTGGTACTATGTGTTTGTGTGTTTATACAGACAGCTTGTTATAGCCTCCCCCCTAAAATATAACACTGTATATGGAAAGCATCGTCAATGCACCATGATGCACCGAGATATTGAATTGAACCGAAGGCATGATAATCATAACCGAACCGTGAGACCAGTATAGGTTCACACCTCTAGCTAAAATTAATTTAAAAATGGAATAAACAAATTAAAACGCATTTACACAGTAAAGAAATAGACTGCATGATTGTGCGTGCAGAAATCCTCAGATTTTTTGCCAGATTCAGAGAGGCCCTAATCATAAGTACATTCTACTAATTAATTAGTACTAATTAATACATATTCAATTAAATAAATGCTAGTTATTCAAAGCTATTAATATGTAGATGAATTTACGTTATCATCCAAACATGTGATAATGATGAGCATTAGAGACTTTCAAAATCTAACCAAGGCTGCATTTATTTAAATCAAAACTACAGGAAATACTGAGCATTCAGAACTGCAACATTGTAAAAGAGTACTGTTTAATGATTAATCGTAACTAATTGTAACAAGTTTGTATTCACATAACATATGTGCATGTGCTGGGTATATTATGCATTCATAAAAGCACGCATACATTTATAGACTTTTATAAAAAAATTTTGATGTAAAACATATAAAATACATATAAAAACATTTCCTTTAACATTGCATAAAGATATGCAACACATAGATGTACGTATTTATATATACATAATAAATATGCACACACAAAGTTTGCGTTTATGTACTTATTTTGTACGCAATTAGACACGATTAATCATTTAACAGCACTATTGTAAGATATTGATTAAAAAGCCCTTTTTTCTATTTTACTGTTTTGATCTTTACTCTTGATGGCAAAGCTGAAGACATTACTCCAGTCTTTAGTAGGGGTGTCGAAATGAATTGTTTTTTGGATGCACTGCAATGCAGAACGCAAACAATACAATATCGGTTCAGTAATAATCATAACTGGTTATTATACATGTAATTTATCTCAAATGTGTTGTATGGAGGTAGCTTACTATGGTGAGGAAGGAGGCTAGGAGTAATTAAAACTACTAAAAGCAGATAACTGTGCACAATTCGCTGCTTGTGGGTTCGCTGGACAGTCTTTCACTGACATCAAAACACATTAGAACCCAGCTAGGAAAAAATTAAAGCTGTAAAATCTCTCTCACTCTCTGTGGCCCATTTGACCTGCTGGCGTGTTCATGGGGTAACATTTTATCTCCTCTCTCGGCTGTTAAAACAATGTTACTTGTGGATTTACACATGTGCATGTCTGCAGAGCAAGTTTTCTCCACCATGTTGCTGACTATAATGGATCAGCTGATCGCCGCAGCAGTCACTGTTTGCTGAACAGCGCGAGAGCCGCACTGACTGTGTGAGTCGATCGCAGCCTTTTCTGTTGATCGCGTGATCAATTATAGACATTTAAGAACTAACTAAACAATGTTCAAAGAGCGAGTGGGATAATATTTACATGTTTATTCGCTATAAATGCTCAGTACGTTCAGCGCACGTACTTTAGTTTTGTTTTATACATTCAAAGAAAGTTTTTTTGAGTGGGTAAAATTAAAAGCACAGTACATATTTCTGACTGTTTGTATTAAGAGATAAAATTGTTTTACAAATAATATACAAATATATTATAAATTTTAATACAAGAATTATTGTGTTGCTAAGTAAAATATCAAATTGTATATGGAAAGTATCGTCAATGCACCGAGATATTGAGAAATGAACCGAATAAATGGCATGATAAACGTAACTGAACCGTGAGACCATTGTAGGTTCATACCCCTAGTCTTTAGTGTCACATGATACTTCAGATTTCATTGTATTTTAAATCATTTGCACAAGAAAAATGTATTATTAGTAAATTTTTAAATAAAAAAAATGAAAAAGAAAGCCTTCCTGAACTGATTTAAACAGTATTGCACATTCATCCACAAAACTCCATTATAAACAAATCAGTCTCCAATATCCAAACGTTGTTTTCTGGCATGTGTTTATGGGTCATACCTCTGGGTGATCGCCCATGATGTAGTTGAGTCGAGCCAGAAGACGCAGGCAGGCACAGATCTCCACATGCATGGCTCCATACACATTGTTGAAGAGGTTCAAGGCCTCGTTGATGAGCTCACAACCCTCTTTTAGAAAGCCTGCGCACCAAGGACGCATCAATCAGCTCTGCAAAAACGTTGAAGGTGTCAAAGCACCGATGATCATTTGTTTTTGTTACCTTGCTGAACCTTGGCCTGTCCGCTCTGGAAGAAATGGAAGGCATCTGAGGCTTTGGGGTTGACGTGCTTCACAACAGGGAAAATGTTCAGGATGTCCTCCTCTGTGAAGGCTGGCTTGTGGCGGCTGTCGAAGTTGTACTCCTTTATCAAGATCTGCAGGGGAGACACAAAGGAAAGGCTTGTCACTACAGGACACCTGACGGAGCACCTCAGAGACACATGGATCAAACACTACCTGAATGCCAGTCTTGATTGAGATCTCCCTCAGCAGGGTGATCTTCTGCAAACCGTACTTCTCCACTGCCTGGTCCACGCTTTCACTGCAAAAAGCACACCATTAGTCTTCAGTTAAAGTAATAGTGTGGTAAAATACTATGTACTTGCCATATTTCCAATATATATTTGATAAAAACCATCCCTAACCCTGCTTTTTACCTAATCTTAGCCAATGAAGTACTTTCTTGAGTAAGAACAAGGCAGTTTTCATTACTAGTATAATTTAATTTAAAGTGCAACAGAAATATCTACAGCTATGTGAAAAAATACTGGAAGACACAATTTAGAAATAGATCTTTCCAGAGAGCTATTCAAAGTGACTGTGGTGATTTTGCTGCCGAGAGAATCTGGATTAAGACCCCAATATGCTTGAAAAGAAACTAAAGAACATCCTAAATCTGGCAGTTCGATACAGCTCAACAAATCAATCTTTTTGGGGAATTCGTTTTTGACTCCTAAACACATTTGTGTTACCATTGCCATCCATAGTGATTACGCAATGTGCACTGATTTTCAGCATCCGTAAACTTCTGATAAAAGGCTGAAGTGACTATTTTCAGTTCAATAAGACTCCTTTTACAGCATTAATAATGTAATTTAATTACAATATACAATTAGTTAAATAGACTTAAGCCTTTATATAGTTGTTCTAACCTAAAACAAGATGAAATGTCATTTAAATGCAAGCGAGCAGTACGCAGGTGCTGAAAGTCCATTGAATATACTGTGGCAAAATGAATTTACATATTTTAAAGACATGGAGCGGAACAGCGGAATTTAATTCAGTGCTTTATGTCCGGTCTAAGACACACTTTATGTGGTCTATCAATCAGGTAGTGATGATCATCAATTTTTAAAGAAAACAGATCTTAAACGTGCCAATTTTAGATTGGCATGACAGTTCATCGGAACTGAGCTTGGTTATAAAAAGTTAAAAGAATATACGCATAGAGCTCACTGCTTTGTGTGTTTTGGAACTCCACCTTCGTTGATGCATGAGGAAATGTTAGAAAAAGTTCAGCAATGGTATACCGTTTTTTGTGTTATTTTTGCCCTCAAAGAATGCAAAATAACTTTATGCAAGTATATCAGGGCCTTTAACAACATATAATACTGACAAAAACTACTTAAATATTTTTTATTAGTTTTTACAGTGACCTTCACTTATTTAGGCCTGTGGTAGACTAGTAAGTATAAAATTTAAACTAAAACCAGTAGGTGGCGACAAACCCATTTTTGAGTGATTAATTGATAAATGAATTCAAAGTTTTAGCAAAGCAGGCTATATTAGAGGCAATAATGATATCAGCTGATAACTTTTCATGTAATAAAATACATTACTGGCTGATAAATTATTTCAGAAATTATCATTGACTGTTAAATGATGATAATGTTGGCCATTAGGGTTATTATATTGTTGCCTCCAACATGAGTTTTCACAGTGAAAAAATGTAAAGATTACTTATTTATGTTTTGTTTTTGTAATCAGGCTTAAGATTTGCATTTATTGCTCTATACATTGGTTACTGATGTCCAAATATAAAGTGATAGTTTCGGTTTCGGCCAAAACATTTATTTTTCAGCGTTCCTACTAAATTTGTTCATTATGATATGCCTGTCTTTATGAAATGATTATTTAATTATTGACTCAAATTTGAATGTATTGTTTAAAGCCCTATATTCCTGGTTAAGAAAAGTGTGTGCTAGTCAATTACTAACTCTCACCATTGAAGACTGAAGTTATAGTAGCCGTGTGCCTCAGAGGTGATGTTCTTCCACAGTTCGCTGGGTGTCAGGCTGGCCCAGGCCGTGTTGTCTCCTCCACCGGGGACACGGTTGCGTCTCTTGCGGCTCTTTTTGCGGGACACCAGCTCATCTGCAGGAAGGTGAGCCACTGCATCTGGGAAAGAGCTCAAGAGGCAGTTGAGGAAGTGGCTCACCGCAGCGGATAAAGCAGAGAGATCCACACCCTGCAAAGAACCCCAAGTATTAAAACAAAGGCAAGTGCGCTACTAAAATAGATCAAAAGCAACCTAAAATAAAACATGGCTGAGGAATGTGTAATGATAGATTAATTATTGCTGCACTACAAATATTCTGATCAGTGGAGCATATGTAAGATGGCAGTTCTGTCATTGCACCACAGTAATAACTCACCTGAAGATATGTTTTGAAGATATGCTTTGCACATCTGGTGATCAGTTCACTGATTCCTATTCTCTGCATATACAAAACAAATAGCAAATACAATTTAGTGTCTGATTAAAAATATAACGTTGAAACTGAAAAAGATAATACACGATCCTTACGTAGATGTGTTCAAGTTGTGCTTTTGCAGGCATGTTATCCATAAACTCCAGCACAGTACCAAGATAACGCACATTAATGCCACGCTGATGAAGGGCTTCTGTCATCGTCGCTCCATCCATAGGCAGAGAGCTGTGATCTAAACAGTCTTTCACCTGAATAAAGTAAAATCATGATTTATTAGCATCAGTAATACTTTAGTTCAAAAACCAAAAGAATTTGCATTAACAAAATCCAATGCTCAATGCTGTTGTATTTATATTAATATCTTGGCCTCCAAATTGTCCAGACATGTAGCTGATTGAACATCGAGGTTCATCGAGGTAAAAGCAGGGTCTTTTAATGGACATGCACCTATTTATTAAATTTCAGTGATCCAAAACAAACTTTAAAGCATTTCTTTTGTCACAGTATATCAATTTGTGTCTGTAGACTTAAATTATAATACAATTTAAGTCATACACTTTTTTAAAATAAGTTTTTGTCTATTGCATTGAGCCATAAATCTCTACTTCAGCAGTACTTACACCAAAGTTGTTCTATTCATATCTATATTTTGAAGGTTTTTATAGAGGGATTTATTAACAATTTTCTTGATTATATACAACAATTTATTCAACAGATCAATTAATTTTGGAGTGATTTTGTATTCTTTAATTATGGCGTGATCAAAAGAGATGTTTAAAAACCCCTAAGTAAAAACCCTTGGCTCTATTATAAACGCCTAGTTTCTGAAACTAAAACTTCCAGGTTTTTGTGCTAGAAATGTATCCAATATAAAAAAAATTTAAGAAAATGTTGCCTTATTTGCATATACAGACAACAATTTAGAAATATTGTATTAAAAAAATGCTTTAAATTCTTATATTATTTACTATTTATAAAAAAATGTTTTACCCAATTCGCCTGCAGTGTCTAAAATGCATAATTCTATAATAAAAAAATTACACATTATATAAATGTAATTTATGCGTTAAATACAAAAAAGTGTAAATATTTTTTCAATTTAGGTGCATTGAATATTGCGCTGATCCTAATGATCAATAAAATGATAGCATTAATAAAGCTGAAACTGACGAGAGAAGGGATCTGGCAGGACACAAGAAAGGCGGCAGCATCTTTGAGAAGCTGCTTCTGTTTCTGAATGTCTTCATTGCTGTCATCCGGGAAACGTACTCCTGTAAAAGATGGATGAGGTCACATGACTAACTCAGTATGTACTGTCAAAAAGATAAATCTCAATTCAATATCCATCATACCTGGAGAAAAGATGTCTGGGTTGAAGCGAATGTCGAAGGAGGTGTTGCTGATGGAGCCCACAGCTTTACAGGCATTAAGCACCACCTCACGACTTTTGGGGTCTGTGAAAAATGAGTCAAATTGAATTTACGTTCACAGACAAATATTAATCAACCACCACCAGGAAAAATAAAAAATAAAAAAGGTTGTTTGGTTAAATTAGGGGTTTTCAAACTCCCAGATGCACTTAAAAATGTAAATATTTAAAAATATATAATAAAATATTTTATTTACAGAAAAAAAACATTTATTTCATCTACAGATATGCTTAAAATAATTAATTATTCTTTCTTTATTTAGAATTTTTATTGTTTAATTAAAAAAAAATCCTCTCAGTAAAAATAAAGAACAAGCTCACTATTTGTACTAATTTGAACTGATAACTGTTCAAATGATCTATTTTAATAAGAAAATTTACCTTTCTAATTTAATTACTCTTCACATCAAAACATTTGAAAACCCCTGAGATCAGTTTTAGCATAATTTACAACAGGATTACAGGATCACCATCACCACAAGTTAATTCTACACACAACAAATTAATTGTTGTTGTTTTTTTTAATAAAAATCAAACTTGAGAAAGATTAGCAGGGAATGTGTAGTCTGGTTGGGGGGTGAGGGGATAAACTGAACACGGTGGAGCCCGATTATCATAAAACCAATCCAGGAGGCCCACTTCAATGAGCCTCAGAGAGAACAGTAGCAACAGCACAGAGGGATGCACTGACCAAACACACACAGCAAATCAAAAACACAACAGCAAAACTGCTGATCAGTCCCTCTAGTGTTTAGAAAGACATTTTTCAGATTTGTGCGGCCTCAAATGACTCATGTTTTTTATTTTTTAGCAAATTTATCAAAATATGTGCCAACAAATATGTGCCAACATTTGATACATTTCATGTGTTTTGCTGTGAAAATGCAGACAGCAATCTTGTAAAAGATTTACTTTTATGACCTGAATATCCATTGGGCTCTGTGTTTTATATAAAGAAAACACAGTTTTTACCTTTTAAGACTGTAAAGCATTTTTTAATACACAGAAAACTGTAAATGACTAAAATAAACCAAACTTTAGCATTAGAATCATGGAAAAATATAGTATATTTTTTAAATATGATGTATTTGTTTGCTAAAACAATTAGCATTGTAGACCTCCTAAACTGCATTTTGTCCACCTCAATTGTAAAATGACAATACATAAAGTTAAGAACATAAAATGTCATTTTACTAGATTATCTATAATTAAAACAGTATATAATATTTACATATACTGTGCAACCCAACAGTCAACTTTATCAAATGAAATGTGTAGTTAACTCAAAATTTACTGAAAGTTAATTCTACTCATTTCGAAAGTTTATCTCCGTTTTAAAGTTAAGAAGTTAATTAAATACTTCATTACTTCAACCTAAATGGAGTAGGTTCACAGTACTCTTATAGATTCGTTTAACTCAAATGGTTTGTAGCAATCGATTCCTTAATCGGTTTGAGTTGCCTTAATTTATTGTATTTTACAGCACTCAGTTGGTTCGAGTTCTCTTAATTTATTGGGTTTTACTGTGCTCAAATTGCTTCGTTTACTCAAATGGATTAAGTTCACAGTACTCATTAGGATTAGTTTTTAAACTTAAATAGTTTGTTGCAATCAATTTCCTCAGGGTTTGTGTTACGTTAACTTATTAAGTTTTTTAATTAAGTTTTACAGTGTACATTTTATACAAAGTAGTCTGCTATTCTATTGAGATTTCTTGAAATTTACATTTGGATGACTCTAGAATAATGGATACATTTAGCACTTCCTAGATAAACCTATTATTTTACAACAACAAAAACACCTTTAATTTAAGAGTTTTGAAGATCACAAATTATATTAAAGTTAGGTCTAAAAATAATGTTTGAATGTGCATTTAGGGACATTTTGTCTTGAAAATAGTCATTTGAAGCCTTCCATTATAACTATTTTTGACCATCTCTGCCTTCAGAATCATGCATTTCATCATGATTATAATGAACAAAGGGTAGTTTTCATCTTTGTACGTTTACTCTAAGTTAAATTAACACTCCTATTTTCTGAATTAATTGTAATTTCAATTATTGAAAAAACAGTGTCTGTTGCTAAATTCTTTTTAATTGTTATATTGGTTATAAAAACCCATAAACCTTCGAGCACTCATAGAAAAAGCATGCAACTTGCTCCAGATGACTTTACTTCCTCTGGCGGGAAATATCTGAAGGCACTGAAGGATGTCATCATTCTTCTCTTATTCATTTTGTACAAAATGTTTAGGGAAGTAGTAGACTCTGTTATTGGTGATACTTCAGTGAATCTCTCATGCACTTTTTTAATAAACTATATTGTAAAATTCAGTTTTAGACATGCCATGTGGTATCTGGTTTTAAGTTAGCATCTTGAGCTAAAGCACAAAATGGTGGAAAACATTAACTCTGTTACTGTCAACTGTTAAAAGTTAAAACTACAATAAGTAACCGAATCAAACGATCCCTTTCACATTTAAGCGTTTTGCATTATTTCAGTTTTGCATTAAGTTCAGTGATCAATTTAGTGTGTGAATACTTTAAATGGCTAACTGATACATGCAATAATGTCAAAGCTTATAAGTTTGCTCAAAATCAGCTGCAATTTTTTTGTATTTAAAGCTTCTCTGAATTTCGTGATCCTCCATGATTTAGCAATTATGGGGACTATCTAAAGAGTCAAGGACACAAGTCTTGTGGAGCCAAAATAAAAAAAATAGTAATAATTAGAAAAACAACTAATTAAGTGTGCATATCTCTGTCAGCTGTTGCCCTTGTTTCCTCTCAGGCTCTTTTTTGTTCTCTCTCAGGACGTACCGATACCGGATCCATCTTCTGCTGCTAAGGACTCGGCCAGCTCTTTAGCTTGGGCAAGTCCGGGAATATTTTCATCAGCTTCCTTACCCTCCAGAGGCCCATCACAGCCTCCGTTCTGCCGCTCTGCAGCCAAAGGCTCATGGGTACCATTGATGCTTGCTACAGGAACCTCGGTCATGGCTTCCTGGTTTTCAGCAGAAGAGTTCTCTGAGACAGTGGTGGCCTCCGAGTCTTCAGGGGTCAGCGTGGATTCAGATGAAGTCGGAGAGTCTGGTGTGCCATCACAGGATTCTAGAGCCAGAGGTTTGTTTTCAGATCCAGCACCTGCAGCATTTGAGTCCTGCAGAGCTGCAGTCTTGTCTTTGTTTGCTTTCTGCTGCATTAGTTGGAGTGCTGCCATCTTCATGAAAAGGAGATATCTGAGACACACACACACACAAGGACAACATGTTTAAACTAAAAAAAAAAGCATTTATAGCACATTGATTCCACCCTATGTTTTTTTTTTCATTTTGCTTAATATAAATTCATTACTGAACATGCAATTCAGAAACTTATTGGTAGCAGACTGTTTGACGCTCCAACATAAAAATATACCTATACTTATGTTATTTTAATTTTGTAAGATTTACTATTAAAACATTACTACAAATGATAACTATTGTATAATATTTATAAAAACACTACTAATAATAATGCTACCAACAACAACAGCAGCAGCAATCAGGCTGATTTATGGTAATGTATGAATTATGTATATTATATAGGGGTGTGACCCTACACTGGTCTCACAGTTCAGTAACAATTATCATACCATCGATTTGGTTCAATTCACATCATGGTGCATTGATGATGCTTTCTATACATAATTAGATTTTATCTTCCCAACACAAGATGAAAACCTATAAATATATTAATATTTATATATTATTTGTAATGCAGTTTTGTCCTTTAATACAGTAAGATATATGAACTGTAGCTTTAATTTGACCTGCTCAAAGAAAACACTCTTTTTTGAATGTATTAAACAAAACTCCAATACATGCACAGAAGACAGCGCAAGCATTTATAGCAAATAAACTAATGTCAATATTATCCCGCTTGCTTTTTGAGCGCTAACAGGCGAGGTCTTACACTCCTATGAATGGTCATGTCTTCACCTGCTCAACAGAAAGAACTGCGATTGTCATTAGAAATGAAAGCACTGTTTACTGATGAGTGACGCGGGAAGGAAAGCCGCGGTTACAGTCTTTATGCGCATCATTTGCGGTTATCACAGGTAATCCATAATAGACACAGTGGAGAAAACTCGCATCACAGGCACGCTCGTGTCTGGATCCACAAGTATTGTTTTAACAGCCGAGAGGAGAGGAAAAGTTACCTCACGAACACTGCAGCGGGTCAAATGTTGAAAGTAAGAGAGAGGCAGAGATGGATTTTTACAGCATTTCTCCCTAGTAGTGAAATACATTCTAGCAAACTCACAAGCAGTTGAATTGTGCATAATTATCTACCTTTTAAGTAGTAAGAGCGTTATTTACTTTCCCTCGCCTCCTTCGCCATATTATTTTGCTGCGAAATCGCACATGGAAGATAAATGACGTCAGTACGTAAAAACCGGTTAAGATTTATTACTGAACCGACATAATTACATATATTTAAGCAACCTCCATGTTTTTTACATTTTATTTAACTACGTTTATAATCTTACAAACAACAAAACTATTACCAAACATGGGATTAATACATTTCTTAGTAACACTTTATAGTAATGTGGACTTGTACAACTTTTTCTAAAAAGCGTTACCCATAAATGTAAAGATCATGTTTATTAGACAACAAATTTGAGCTAAACTCTCAAATAAAATTAATTTTGTTAATCCATAAAAATTAATTAATTAATTAATTTTATTAAATTTATTTAAATTAATCCAGCATGTTGTGTTTTGTACCTGTGCTCAACAAAGGCCTCTATGAGCTCCTGACGTAAGCAGGCCAGACGATGGCGATGCTGTCTGGGGAAGCCCAGCTTCTGGCTCTCGGGGGTGAGCTCCTCCCCCTCCACTGGCAGGAAATTCAGGTCTGGAGGGAAAGTGCGCAAAAGGTCCAAGATATAATGTCGGCCATCATTGCCAATGATACCCTTACACTCCACCGAGGAGCAAAGCTCAACAGCGCTGTCCTTCTCATTGAGCACCGCATGGCGCTGCACCTTCAGCGGGCGACTGGTCTTCTCCAGCAGCTCCAGATATTTTGGATGCGACACTACAGTCTTGCCAAAATCAATGGAGCCATAGATGACGCTCTGCTCCTGCTCTCGCTCCAAAATGCCTGGAATGATGGACTGCGCAGTTACACGGTATCCTCTGTAGTCAACCACCACTGTTCCCAAAGTGTAGAGTCCTTCCACATCTACAGCGCTGTATGCTCGCACCCCGTTCAGGTCATTGGTAGGGGCGGCATGGGCAGCAGAGTCTCCGCCGAGCTCCCTGTAGTGGTCGCGCACGTCAAAACCTAAGCTGAAGAAGATGTTGTTCCAGATGAACATCTGCATGCGCGTTTCCTCACCAGGGTTGATGGCCATGACGTTGCCATCAATGACCGCCATCGCACCACGGGTCGCCGCAGCGGCAAAGTCACTATGAACCTGAGGAACAGAAGTGTGTTTGAGCTCAAAGGAGTTTGGGAGACGAAATACTGAAGCTTTGTGTTGTTTGTGTGTTCACCTTGAATATGGCTCGCTCTCTAAGCAGGCGCTCTGGAAGGTTCTTTCGAGTAAGTTCTCTGGTTGTCTGAAGCTCCTCGTTCCAGTCTCTAGTCTGTCATGGAGAACAAAGAAACTTCCGTTATAAAGCAATAAACAAAATAATGAGATATTAAAGGGATAGTTCACTCCAAAATACATATTTAGTAATCGTTTACTCAGACACAAATGAAGAGAGTTTATTAAAGAATAATGTAAACCGGTAGCCACTGACATCTATGATGGGGAGGAAGGGAGAGTCATTTATGACAAATTTTATTTCTGTTTGAACTATCCTTTTAAGAAAGAACCAAAGACAAAAACTCAATCATCCATTTATTATTTTTAGTCATAAGAGAAAACTTTGCAACATTATCATCTTGCATATTTAATTTCTTTCTTCATCAACATCACAGGATTCGACTTTTGCATTGATTTAATACCAGACATTTTAAAATGTGAGACAGCAAATTGTAATTGAGATATGCATTTATGGATAATTAGGATCATAGATCAGTTTTTAAAAGTAAAATATACATATTAATTTCTAAAGCAGATCTTAAATTACTCACAGGATTCGTATACATTTAGGTCACATGATACGTATACATTTATTTTGTTGATTTAAAGTAAAATCTAATGGACTGAATCTGCAGATGCTGTTGTCTGTTCATTTTCCTATGACACTCGATATCTTTACCACACTCATTTGTGGCATTTTTCTACACTTGTTAAAAACTAACCGGTGCTGAAAAACAGGGTATCCTCATAAATTCTTAACAAAAAAAAAAAAAACACACACACCAAAATAAAAAAAAAACAATAATTTAGAGCATACTTGGCCAGGTATGTGCTCCTCATAACCCAGTCGGGAGGTGTAGGCGTCCTCCGCTCTCACACAGTCCATAGCATGATCAATCAGTGGTGCAGTCCAGCTGTACACTTGAAAGGGAGTGGCTATTCTCTCAAATGGATGCCTCTGAACCCTAATGAAAATTACCAAACCAATATTAATAACAGGACATGATAACTGAATAAATTCAGGGGGAATAATCACATATCACATGTAAACATTTACAAAAGGGTTTTTCAACTAGAAGACATCACACCTCAACTTAATTACAAAATCTTACTCTTAAAATTTTTAGTATTAGTAGTAGATTAAAATAACACATTAAATTAAAACGTTAAAACACAATTAAGCAGTGAACAGATTTTTTTCCCTCAATAACTGTTTTATCACAAAACAAACAGAATAAAGTTAAAACATACAGAATATAGTTAACTTTAATTTTTTTGTTAACATACAAGACAATGCGTCAATAATGCACACAAAAACATGCATGCTGCTACATTCAGATAAGCTATATCATACTCTAGAGTATAATGTTAATTGTACATGGAAATGTGTCCTGGTGAAGATAAGATGGGTCACGATTCTCTTAGCAGGGTACAGCCGATTGTTTCAGATGTAAATTCTCTTTGTAAATCTAATCAGAGCATAGGTATGATGTGAAGTAAAGTGATCTTAATAATAGTGCAGTACCTCTTCTTCTGCAGAGTGGTGAAGTTCTTCTTAAAGGCAGCGCTGATCTGGCTTAGTAGTTCCACTAAAGAGTGACTGAGGAAGCTGGGATTGGCTGGCTTGGGGCTGAAGTTATAAGTAGTGGACCTGAAACAGATCAAAAATGTTCAACTCATTTAAATGCAATCTATAATAATTGTCATCATATTTTCAGAAAACGCTGGAATTATTCTTTATTTACATACTTAGTTTTCATATATATTTCCCAATACTATTTAACTAAAACATCACTCATACTTTACTAAGAGGCACCCATTTTGTTAGCAAGGCTTCTAAAAAAAAAAAAGTGTCCCAGCCAGTGTTCTGACTTAAATCCAATTGAGAATCTGTGGAGGGAGCTAAAGATCAGGGTGATGGTAAGGAGACTCTCTAACATGAAATAGTTAGAGCTCATTGCTAAAGACGAGTGGGCAAAGCAAGTTGTGGCAAATTTACTTATGTTTAAATTTTTTTTAAGTTATTTATTAATTAGTTTTATAATCTAAAAATAAATTACACAAATATGGTGATCATGAACAATTAAATATACAATACCTCCTGCTTATAATCAATTTAGGAAACTGGTTGCAGAGGACATCCTTATTTCTTTTTTGGTATGATTTTCAAATACTTAGTTGCAACTTACAAATAATAGTTTCACTAGAACTTTTTAGTATTAATGTTACAAATTAATTTCAAGTGACACTCTTACTGATTGAGGTAGAATCCGCGTGTGGAGGCAGTGATGCTGACGTGTCTGTCCTCAACAGTCACGATGTACAGATACATGAGGTCACCGTGCATTTTTCTGTTGCCGGGCGGAGGGTTCCAGCTACTCATGGTCAAAACCTTCAGGCACTGCATAGGCTGCAGATGGAGGCGAAAGCAGTCAAAATCAAAACCAAGGCATCTGATGTCATAGCAAAATCTTTTATCAACTCTCACCTTCCAGTCTTTGTTTTGTGGCTGAAGGGGAACTAAAGGACGCTCTTTGCTGCCTGGCAGAATGTGTTCGGGAGGTGTGCAATCAATCTGCTCAAGTTCACTGCCCTTCTTTTTGCGCTTGCCAGTATCTGCGGAGGAAAGAGCAAAACGCTCACCAATAGGACTGCAGGATATATCACAACAAAATTAATCTTGGGACGTGGACTAGTGCAGTTGTCAAATAGTGAGATTTATTTAAATAAACATGTTACTGGTTTCAGAGTGAAGAGTGTCATTTAAACGGGTAGTTTATAATATAGTCTGTTTCACAGTGTCAGAATAGCTCAGTTCATTTGCTGTGAATAAAGTCATAGCTGCGAGTAGAAAATGTTAATGAACATACAATGCCTGAAACCAGGAGTGCAGTTATTAATTGATGGCAACACACTAAAAATGTTTTATGCCATACCGTTTCATACAACAGTAAAATCACACAATACATAATACTAAAACATTCCTTAAATCACCAAAATATTAACACGAAACATGCTTAAGTTTTGGTTTGTTTTATTCTCAATTCACTCCCAGATTGTACAATCAATCAATGCACTTAATCATTTCTGGTAATAAATTAACTTACATACAATTATTCGATATAAAATTGAAATAAGCTGACATAATAAAAACAAATAAATAAAATTGTTTAAAACTAAATTAAAAAATATATTATTTTCATTCATTAAACATTTTAATTAATAAATATTTATTTAATTATATAAATAAATATAATTTATAAAAAATAAATTAATGAAAAAACATGAAAAATCTTTTTTTTTTTTTTTTAATTGGAAGTTTTTTTGACCAAATGTTTATTTTCCAAAACTTAAAATAAAATTCTTTCCAAATATTCAAGTCATCAGGTGAATCTCACTGTATTTTTTTTTTCAAAACTTTTCTTTTGAAAAAGACCACTCTCTGTTTGATTAGGGTGTGGGTGGACTAATGACATCAATTCTGCAAATAATAAGGGTGTCACGATCCTCCAAATCCTCGATTCGATTACATTTTTGATTCTAAAGGCACGATTTGATTTTCGATTATGAATAATTAATTAATTAATGACCAATTAATTATTTGTAGCCTACCGTTTAAACTACCTGACCTGCATGGTCTTTGTTTTACCCATAAACAAATCATACAGTAAATGAATAAAGGCAAGATACACACATAATTACCACCTGTCAATCACTTTTTCTGCGGGACTCGTGAATAGGCAGTGATCTGTGTCGTTATAATGGCGTCGGTAAAAAAGACGCACAACCAACAGGAACCAGCCAACAGTATCTGAGGTGTTCGCTAAAATGACAAAGTACAAGTGAGTGAAAGATTGAAGCAGTCCTCTGACTGCCTGGACCTGCTGTCTCGAGCGCAAGGCTGTATGTGCGTCTGTGTCTGTGTGGTCACGTGATGTGCATTTTCAGAGGTAGAGAGGAAGGAGGGCTGCTCAGAAATGCTACACGCCACTGTGGATGTCAAATCGTTGTCGTTCTAAAATGCCATTTAAAAAAACAAAGACAGTGTAAACAGGATCTGAGTGTGTACTTTTCGTGAGCGGATTTGCAACGGGGGCGGGCGGAGGATCGCGATGCCGGTGTTGTCTATCGGACGAACCGTACGTAATACGTACATAGCAGAGCTTGCAAAACAGTGTTTTTTTTGTCGACAACACGAACGTTGTCAACATAACTCACTGGAAATCCAAAATGCTTACACACCGGCGACTTCATTGAAAGAGGAGAGGGTTTAAGTTCTGTCGACGGGTCTCCTGCTTCCGCAGTTTAACAAGCACTTCAACGAGCCTGTTTTTTTCCCGCTTGGCAAGCCAAGCTGACGTGACATGGGGGCGTGGCAGCATCGACGATTCTATTTTTTGATTCGATAATCGAAATTGAGCATAAATTTAGATCGATTTCGACCCCTAGTAAATAATGTAAAATTTTTGCAAAGACAATAATTTTTTCATCATTAGACATTGTTTCCCGAGGACCCATGGTTATTAATTTGTTTTGCCCTCAAAGTGCCGGTAGCTGTTGACTTGTATTTTATGAATCCCCAAGAACCGCAGTTTCAGCTTTAATGTCCTACTAGGTGAAAAAACATGAGATGGTCTGGGGGTGCATAAAATAACTACATTTTTTTTCTATTATTGGGTGAATTATCTCAACGCAAACTCGAAATTTTTCTGTCACTGACCTCCAAGATCTCCTTCTGAGAAGACGCTGAGGAAGGAGAGGGAGTTGCAGTCTACTCCATTATAAGCATCTGATGGATCCAGGCTCTTCAGCAGGTCCCTGATGTGACGGACATGAATGCGAGCTTCACGCACTGTGTAGGGCTCTACAGGAAACGCACAACAGCATTAATAGCCCTAGATAACACTAAAATGTACTCAAGCGAAAGTTCACATTTTTAAAACAGTTAGTAAAGTACAATTCCTGAGAAAATCCTACTTACAGTATTTTTTGTATTTGTGATAAGTTAATTTACACCACTGTACTTGATATAAGATTCTGAACCGTACCTTCGACCACTTTAAGAAGCGAGCCTTCCTGAAGGCCCTCGATGGATTTCAGCTCGGCAAAGTTGTCGAGAACATTTCCGTCGAGCTGTAAGGAGAAGCAGGTGCGATGGCAGGTGTCCTCTCGGTCCATCAGAACTTGATGAATCTCCTGTACCATCTCTTGTGGAGACACCTGAGCACGGACCACAGGTTTTGTTGCAATACTTTGTTATGAACGTCCCAATGAAAGTAATGAGCAGTTAGTGGGCTCACCTGAAGGTCAAAGGGTTCGGTTCCTGGTGCTTGGATCTTCACAGTGAAGCCAGTGTCTTGAATTACGATTACTTCTTGTTCGTTAGCATCTTCTGCTTGGTCTGCGTCGCCACTGCCGTCCTGCTTTGAGTCGGCCTCCTCCGCCTGATCATGACCCGCATCCCCGTTCATCACTGCTGTCTCAACACCGTGCCCTAAGGAGACAAGACATTAAAAAAATTGAAGGAATAAAGTCAACAGAGAATTTTTTTTGTGTTGTTGTTTTTGACAAAAATAAAAAATAAAAATCCCTTTAACCGAGACCAAGAAACTAAAATTAATAAAATGCAAATTATATAAAATATAATTATATATTTAAGTGTTCCAAATTGTTTAATATACTGCTCAAAGTAAAGGGGTTTCACTTTGTGGTTAGAGTGGGGTTGACAAATAAAGCTGAAGTACAAAAAAAAGTCATAAAACTAAGCTAATTTAATTTGTTTATAATTAGTAATACTGAACAGAAAAATAATGATCTCAGTTTTATTGTAATATTTTAATTTAAGTTAATTTGATATAATAATTAATATAAAACAATTATTTCACAAAATATAATAATAAAAGATAATTTTGTACATACATTAATTTATTTTATAAATAGATTAAGTGAATCAAAAACTAATAACTTTCTTTGAATAATAAGCACGTCCTGTGTGTACTGCCTCTGTGCTGATTTGTAAGTCACTTTGAACAAAAACGTCTGCCAACTGACTTAATATAAATGTGTAAATGTACATGATGAGTATCGATATTTGATTTTTTTTTTAATTGAAAAAGTTAAAGTAAATTACAGTCAGAACAATTACCTGAACAATTGCCTTGTTGTTTTTAGTTTTTTGTTCTTACTTATCTAGATTATTGTCCAGTGGTATGGTCAATAGCATCAAGTCAAGACTTCGATAAATTAGAGTTAGTCCAGAATAGACCTGCACAACTAATTTTACATTGTAATAGAAAAGTTTATATTATGAAAATGCATAAAACTTTAGGTTGGTTATTGGTGAAGGATAGGGCAATTGTTTCTCTGCTGTGTTTTATAAGAAATATTTCTGTTAAGAGTTCCAAGTGTTTTGTTCTGTCAACTTTTATATATTGATGCTAGTCATAATTTTAGTACCAGGCATGCATCAAAAGGAACTTTTTTGCTTCCCGTTTCAAATACTTATGCAAAGCAATGGACTGTAATGTATAGAGGAATGAAAACATAGAATCAATTGCTATCAGACATTACATGCTTTGTAACAAGTAAAATGACAAAAGCAAAAAAAAAATAAAAGCAAAATAAAGTTCCAAAAACTGTTACATTAGTGACATAATCTCACTTCAGCCCTCTAAACTTTAATCGCTTTCATTCCTTGAAACACATCTCACTTAATTCGTTTAGCAGCTACTACTTATCCTGAAGGAGTAGCAGAAAGGCTAGGCTTTTTAGCGGTAGGTCAGCCAACTAGCACATCGACTGGACTCCCACAGCGCAACACAGAGCAGCCATGGAGATCTACACAACAACAGCTCAAATTGTGGCTCTCCAGGGGTAAATGGCCCCATCACACTCTCCAGATTTGCTGAAATATCACCTGACTCCACTGCCTTTAACTGCTTCTGCTTTACTGACAGATTCACTAACACAACGATCTGCTGAGGCTGCAGGTTTGCTGATACTCTGAGCTGAATAAGATGACAGTAAAAAAAACATATACACAAGACATTTAACATGTATTTTTGTTATCTGATCAAAGACAGACAATACTAAACGGGCGTAAACAGGGCTAAAATGTGTTGATGCCGTCTACTTTCAATGGCATCCAGAGTTTGTCAAAAAAAAGCACATGATCGTTATTATCCAATAATAACACTTCTGAGACTTACTTTAAAGGAATAGCTCACCTGGAAATTAAAACTTACTCACTATCTCTTCGTTCTCAAGTGGTTCTAAACGTTTATGAGTTTTCCTTCTGTTGAAAACAAAAGAAGATATTTTGAAGAAAGCGGAAAACCAGTAACCATTCACTTCCACATCAGAAAAAACAGATACTATGCAAGTTAACGGTTACAGGTTTCCAACATTCTTCAAAATATCTTCTTGTCAGAATGAAGAAACTTATAAAGGTTTAAAATAAATAGGGTAAATGATGACAAAATTTAGAATATTTTGGGTGAACTGTGCCTTTAAGTGATGAGACAAAAAAATACATGCCTAAAATCCAAAAGTTAATAATGTCCTAAATCTAAATATATACTTAAATTTTGACTACAAATTAGATTTCTGAAATAAAATGTTCTTTTGATGCATTTTGTTTTGCAAATGCATTTTGCATGATGAAATTCAGGTTTGTGAATTATTTAAGATTCAATATATAAAAATACTTATTGTGCTGTTAATCTGACTTTTTAAAATGCAAACCAACACGGATCTGATTTCAGTCACAAAAGCAGTTTTATGTAAAGCAACTGCCTAATATCTTGCATTTAAAAAATTGTACCAAGATATACAACTTAATCTCTGGTTAACTGATGTTCAAAATATGTATTAATCAAGTATAAATTCAGACAATCAAGTAGTTATTAAAAAACAATTAGGAAATAATTAGAAGAAATGATCATTAAACAATTTGCAGTATCTATTGATCTATCCATCTGAATCTTTCTGTATCATAGGATTGGCCGATGTCAACAAATTTGGCATTGTACGAGGTCTAATGTGAAACATCGCGATGGACGATGGCATCATCATCATAGCCAGCGGTGAATTAATGATTTATAAATAATTCATGAATTTATAACAAATTAATTATTTTATTTTTTTTTTTGTCTTTGTTTTACCCATAACCAAATCATAAATAAATAAAGATAAGTTACACAGAAATTACCACCTGTCTATCGCCTTTTCCGTGGGACTCTGGCATGAATAGGCAGTGATCTGTGCCGTTATAATGGTGTCGACAAACTTGCTTTGTAAAAGTGCAAAACTAACAGAAACCAGCGGTATATGCGTTTTTTGCTAAAATTACTAAGTACAAGCGTGGAAAAAGGATTGAAGCAGTGTTCTGACGCTGTGACCTGTTACTTTAAAGAGTCAAAAGACTGAAGAGTCGTTAAATAAAGAAAAGATTAATTAAATATCACATTTAACAACTATAGTAAGACGCGATACAGCGGTACAGCCTTGTTATACTGTCTAACCTGCACTGCTTTCTGGGCTTTTGTGCTCAAAGCATCCGCTGACTGCCTGGAGCCCAGACACGCTTGTATGCTGCAGTGTATGCCTGTGTGTAATCACGTGATGTGCATTTTCAGCAGTATAGTGTAGAAAGAGGGCTTTTCAGAAATGCTAGGTGAAACACCATTTTAAAACTAAGACGTGTTAGTGTAAACGGGGCCTAAATGTGTATTTTTCGTGAGTGGGTTGCTGCTGCAATGGGGGTCAGGGCAGAGGATCGCAGTGCCGACTCAGCATTATGATGTCTATTCTCCATAGTGCGGCACAATACCAAAGTTTTTACTTTGTTACGGTACCCAAATTAAATATCACAATATCAATACTACACCATATTTTTTTTCTTTTGGAATATTATTTATTGATAAACACTCAGTGTTTGCTGTCAGCTGAAACCATTTTTAAAAAGTAAAACAAATACAGAAATAAAAACAAATTTTGTCAGTAAACCAGCCAAGCTGTTTTAGCATAAATAAAATAGTTGCAGCTTTGTTTAAGAAACTGGACAACCTAAAACTATTGGGGATTGTACAGCATGTAATTATTTTGCAACATTACAAGAAAAGATCTATTCAGATACATCCAACTCTCAGATCCTCCCACATCAAAAAGAAAATGATCAAGTTAGTCTGAAAGTGCACAGAAAAAAATGATACATAAAATTTGAGGTGTGAACAGGAATGTGTTGCTCATGTCTTTTTGTAATTTGATCAACCAAAACACATGTAGGGATTTAGAACCAGGTGTAAATGGAGCCAAAGACTTGAGTCTCAAGGCAGGCCACAGCTGTCTGGGCTGTACCTCTGAGCTAAAACACACTGTTTGCTTTAGACAACTGTAGTCTGGCCTTGGCTCTTCACAATGGTCATGGCTACAGCAATAAGCAGCTTACACTACAGACCAAACAGATTCAACAAACGAGTCTAAAAAGCAGCAATATCCAACAAACTTAAATTTATGTTTTGTGTACTTATACTGAAGAGTAAATGGCATGTCTTTAGTCATTTATTTTTAGAGTATAAAAGGAATTATAGAGTTTGTTTTCCCTCTCAGTCGTTCCCAGCATTAATTTTTAAGTTCAAACCAACCCTAAATGCGTTTGCTCTGCTATTGAGCACCAACATATGGGTATTTTATCTCACGCTAGATTAAATGTTTGTCAGATCTTACCCAATATAGTGCAAATCTAATCTTAAGCTTTAGGTTAAGTGGTTATAGACAATTAGTTAAATGAAGGGGCTGCTGCTGTTACAAAATTTCTAATTTAATTACAAAAATCACACCAAAAAAAAGTCTTAATTTTAGGAATATTTTAAGAATTTAAGGTTACCATTTTAAACCAAATAATGACAATTTTAAGAGTAAACTGATGATAACAATACATTAATAAAATGAGACAACAATTTTATGTGATGCAATTGCCTGATAGGTTGCATAATCATAATCTGTATAAATTGATATGATTTCATTTTTGTCTAATTTATGTATAAAATATGCGTTCATCAAGTTTATTATAACTATTCTTGATTGTCTAATTTTAAAGTCTTCAAAACAAAATCTTATGTTTAGGAATCCTTCAGATTTTATGATGGATAGGTTTTAGGCCTTTTCTAGGACTTGTCAAACCAGCCAAACTAATGAATTGCAAATTGCATCACAACAATGGCTGCTTTTCAAATAGATCAAAGTGTGTATGAGGTTTGAGCCTCGGCGTTGCACAACCCCAAAGTCAATCCCCATGTCCTTCAGTCCACACTCTCCCTCGGCTGGGTGAAGTCCATATGCAGGCCACATTCACTAAATACTGAAGGCTTGAGGATCAGACCAAAACAATTTACATGAGACTACCTGTATATACCGATATTCTAATCTTGCTGTAACGGTACCGGCAAGCATTTTCCAAGACTTTCCTCAATCCTTTATCCTTTAAGTCCATCTCAATTTATATGATGTGGACGCAGTGTGACTTTAATGCAGACCACAAAAGATTCAAACCTATTCATTTTCAAGCCTATGCTGACAAATCATTCAAAGACAAAGATATTACACTAACTAACCTTACTTCTCTCTCTCGTCCTATGCAACAGTGCATTGACTAACCAACTAAGGATTAAACAAAAACAGAAGTGTAAAGTCCCTTTGTGTCAACAATATTGCTTTTAACAACAACAAACTGAAGTAAACGTGCTAAATGGCAACAGCACATATTGGCGGTTAAACCTGCAGTCACACACACACAAAACACCTGGCAGACTTTATCACAACTGAGATCATGGTGGTCTAGCAAGAGAGACGCAAGCGATTCCCTGTGGAGTGGCATGATGTGTTGAGGCAACAGAGCCCAGTGTGTTACAACATTTGGCACTAGTCATGCAAAAGATGCAGGAAGTGAACCTTGAAATCCAAGTTTTTTTACTGTCAGCCATGGTTAGTTCATTTTACAAGTGAAAGTACACCTTCATAAGATGGTTTAACAAGTAAAATAAAGCTGATTATGTGATTTCAACATGCTCACTTGAAAACCCAGTTAAGTTAAATATGAATTAAGCAAGTCATCAAAACTAAAAACTAAGAACTTGAACTATTTTAAGCAGTTTCAATATTTAATGTTATGAATTGGTACTAAAATTGAATATTTGATGTTTGTTTTCTTTAAATTAGAATCCGTCCAGTTTTATCATACTTTTTATTATGATTTACAGAAGATATCCACTAAAAAAAATCTGCAATATAAATGTGTAACAGTTTAAATAAAAAAAACAAACAATTCGTCATAGAACAAGAGTATTTAATGACATATATACAAAAGTTCCTTTTATATTATATATACACACTTCACATATACAACTATAATCTAATATTCTACAGTCTTTGCATATTTAGACACCATAAAGGGTCAGTTCACCCAAAATAATAAAATTTCCTCCATTTATTTGCCCTTGTGCAGTTTTAAATCTTTACGATTTTTCTTTTGTTGAAGATCATTTTAAGATTGCCGGCCCTCATTTACATTCATATTAGGAAAACTCTGCTTGCTATTACTATAAAAGTCAATGGATGCCAGCTACTAGCATTTCTAAATATTTATATTTTGTGTTCAACAAAAAAAGAAAAAGGCGAGTAAATGACAGATTTGTAGATTTGTAGGTTTAGTATTTCTTCAAGGAAGACATTTATAAAACATCATTTTAATATTTCACCCATTATTTTAACATTTTATTAAAGAATAATGGCTTCACTTGGCTTTGAGGCTTCACTTGCATTCAATATGGCATGTTAGAAATCTTTTGTTCACTTAATTTAATGCGGAAACCCAAACTGCATTGACCTGAACATATTAATAGTCAAAACATAGCAGAAAAGGATTTAATAAAATGTTTTTGCTACTTGCTAATTAATATTACAATATATTTACAAAAATCTGAGCAAGAAAGCAAACTAACCAAGTCTAACCAACTTCCTACATAGCTTCATAAACAAGTATTACCTGTATAATAATAGTGTAATTGCACACAGATCTTGCCAAATGCACATCTAAAAGAGAGAGATCATATCAGTCTCAAGCATGCACCATCTCGAGCATCAACGCATGATTTGTCATTTTTCGGTGAAGTATCTTTACAATGACGGCATTTATAATTTTAAAAATATATTTTCACCCATTATTTTAACATTTTATAAGAAAAATTTGCTTTGAGGCCTTATTTGCATTTAATAAGGCACGTTAAAAATCTTGATTATTTAATTTAATGTAGACACCCAAAATACATTGACCTGAACATCTTAATAGTCAAAACATAGCAGAAAAGGGTATAATACAATGTTCTTGCTACTTGGAATTTAATATTACAACATAATTACAAAAATCTCAAAAAGTAAAAAGCTAACCGAGTCTAACCAACTTCCAATTCCAACATCGCTTCATAAACAAGTATTATCTGTATAATAATAGTGTAATTGCACACAGATCTTGCCAAATGCACATCTAACAGAGAGAGATCACATCAGTCTCAAGCATTCACAATCTCGAGCATCAAAGCAAACAAATCAAAGACAATCAACAGCTGTCAGAAATGACCAATTTCGCAGCTGTCAGGTGTCACACTGACAGCCAGCCTCTTCCAAGGTCTCCTTAAATGTGACACGAACTGCAGCACCAGCTAACTGACAGTGTGCACAACACCCGGCTATCTGCTCGAAAAGCGATCTAATGACAGCCTAAAGCTCGAAAATAAGTCGCAAATTACAGCATCGCTCCTACGCGGCAGTCAAACTGTGCAAACCGACCACTTACCAAACAGATCCCTCTATATTTAACTGGTAGCAATAACCTTCTATCGGCATACATGCACCATGACTTTCCATGTGCAGCTACTTCCGCTTCCCGGTCGAGGAGCGCAACACTTTCGAGAATGAAAACAAGAGGGGTACCTAGAGGCAGACGCGTCGTTGAAAGAAACAAGCTGTAAATTATTAAGAGCGTATATGTTTATAACTCACTACGGAAATTAAATTAGAAACAGTAAGTTTTAAACCATACGAAACAAAATGGGGTCACCCTAAAATCAGGCCGTAGTAAAACCCCGCTCTCCCTCCGTCGCTCAATGGTTCCGTCGCACTGAAGGTGACCTTCAGTTTATTCGTGTTCATGCGCGCAGTTACAACACATGTGCGTCAGGATCTCACACACAGCTAGCGGACAGGCTACTGACAACACTTTACAAGGCTGATAATAAGACTTATCATAACAAGAAACACATTTAGCGTTAAAGTTTTAAGAGCTCCCTGTGGTCGTTCATTCACCTCAGCCCTACACTTCATGTTGACTCTGTTACAACAGAGACTAGTGTAAACATTTCCTGATGAAAGTTTATGTTGTCATTTATCATGCAATTATTATTCCTATAAATTACATTTTAAAAACTGCAATTAACTATAGTATTATTTATTGTAAATGCAAAATGATCCATAATTAGGTTCTAAATGTCTGATAAGACATAAAACTATAGTAAACACAATTTTTTATGTTATGCTATTGCTCTAATAAGTGTTCATGCAAAACAATAACCCTTGAGCAAACAGACACCCCCCTTACCTCACCTTTGCTAAAGTTTACCTACTAACCCAATTTCAACCTCTCATAAAATGGCCATCAATTAAATCTAAAGCTCAAACCTGTCTAAAACACCACAAGATCAATTCAACAAAATGTAATAACCTTCAGAACTAAAAGGAAATGGTCACTGTTTTTATAGTTTAAAACTTACTATACTGAAATTCAGCTTTAGTTGGATAACCTGCCTTTTTGAAATAATACTATAGTATTGAGAAACAAGCTGTTAATGAGTTTATCTGCAACCAAGCAGCAAGACAAGATCCAGACTTAAAGTCCATTAGGCAAGACAGAAATGAGGTGTTTTTCAAGCAGGGGGCCTCATCATGATCTAAAATCATTAAAAAATAATAAAAGTAATAAATTAGATCAATACATTATCCTTATGAAGGAACATTACCATGATTACTACAGCTCAATCTTTAAAAAAATGACATTTCATATAATTTATATTTAAGGTTCAAAGCTGAATACATTTAAAGGTTATATTCTTACTTTAAACTGAGTAACACTAATTAAAACTAATGTTACAAGTTTTTTATCCTCATCCAGTAACTTATAAACAAAATCCTAGGACAATTGAGGGCCTTGGAGTTCAGAAGGTTGAGAAGAGCTGAAATGAATGGCCTGTACAAGGTTGTAAGGCACCTACTTCCCTTTTGTTAACCCTAAGAGGATCTAAAACAGACACCCTGGAGGACTCTCTGCCTGTTTATGTCCTTTGGTACCTGCTTCACTTTGACCTCTATCCAGTCAATCATATCACAGAACACTTATTAACTCCAAACTGACAGGTTAAATACACTAAGATCATCCATTGACGTGATTTCCAAGCACATGCTGCAGGTGGAAACGGTGTAAAGCTGACATACCGCAGGCACACGACGCCTCCTTCTTACTGGTGGTGCCTTTGCTGTTGGCTGTCTCTCCGTCCCGGGCAAAATCAGCCGGGCTGCAGTTCGGCACTGATGCTGGGATGTCATCCGTCTTGCTCACCATGGTTCCTCGGGTTGAGAGAGAGTTAGCAGCAGACGTCCGTTGTGTGGGCTGTTTAGTGAGTCTGCTAATTGGCCTGCCTTCTCCGCTTGACGGAACGGCTGTCCGGTTGCATGCAAAGATATTACAAAAACAAGCTAACTTGCGAAGGACAGAGCTCCAGTTCTCAGGCTGCCTGACTGTCACACGTGGTTTCTCCTCCTCTTGACCTGCTTGCCTTTGCGTTGGTCCCTCCCAAACCAAACAACCGGCTACGGCAAGCCCGGAGGTTCATTTGAAGAAGCGCGTTTTAGATGGGTTTGTTTTTAAAGTGACAGTTCAACCAAATATTTTACTTTATTCTGTTTTTACCTATCCTCGAGTGGTTGCAAACCTTTATGTGTTATATATTTCTGTTGAAAAAAAAGAAAATATTGTGAAAATGTTGTAAACCAATCATTGACGGTTATACCAATCATCAACGGTTATAAGTTTCTTCAAAATATCTTCTTTCATGTTCAACAGAAGAAAGAAACTCATATTTGTTTGGAACCATTGGGAGGTAATTGGGAGTAAATGATGACAGAATTTTCAGTTTTGAGACACTTGCAATCGATTTGTGTTGGGTCTGCATGAAGGAACGAGCTCAATGTGCACCTAGTGTTTTACAGCCAATGATAAACTTCCGGTGAAAGCTTAATGTGACTATTTTAATTTTCATAAGGTTCCTTTTGCAGCATCGATGTTGTAATGTAATTACAATTCATTCAGTTAAATAGACTTAAGCATTCATTTAGTTGTTCTAGCGTAAAACGAGATGAAAGACCGTGTAACCAGCACAGTCAGGAAGAGCAAGCTAACGCAGAAACTCCATTGAATATACTGAGGTAAAATAAATGTCCATATTTTAAAGACATGGAGGGGAGAAATGAATTTTAATGCAGTGCTTCATGTCCGCTCTGAGACCCACTTTATATCGAATATCTATCAGACATTGAAGATCTCTGATTTTTAAAGAAATCAGACCTTAAACGTGGCGATTGTATAATGGAAAGACAGTTCACCGGAAGCGATGAGGCTGGCTGGCTGAAATTAAATGTCTGTGTGCGTATACCCCAACTTATTAGTTTGTACAAATTTGAGTTGATTAAACATAAAACAATTAAGTTGTTCCCAAAAAAAAACTTAATAATTGTGTTGTTTCAGCTTATTTTAAATAAGCAGTTTGAACAAGCAGCAAACGTCATTTCTTAAGTGTAATAAAAGTGATTGGAAGTACCAAAAATTGGTACACAATTGTCTGGCGTATTTAGAAAAATAAACATTTGATAGCATAATACTCTCTTTATGAATCCCAGTGTGGTCTTATAATAACTAATTAATCAAAAACTAATTAATGCTTTATTTACTGTATATGGCTCCTTCAAGCTACTGCATTTTACCCATTTGTCAGCAAGAAGTTTTCTTATTTAAAATATAATAAAACGTGGTATGATTACTTATTCTTTTACATATATCTACAAGTCAGTCTAAGCCTGCTGTTTATTTTTTACTTAATATATCTTCAACACAGAATGTCTATCAAACATTATTTTACGCATTCTTTATCTTGTATTTTTACAAAAGTTATCTGTAATTTATGTTTATGAAGTTATCTGCATGTATCTGCATTTATATAACAGTAAATCGGTGTTTTTTTCTGGTGTGAAGATAAAGATATGACTTGTTGATTAGATTTGATTAATTGACTGTATTCTATTCTCTTATCATTCTTTTTGGAATGTTTATGGTTATATAATTCATTTATTTTCCTTCAGCTTAGTCCCTTTATTAATCAGGGGTAGCCAAAGTGGATTCAACTGCCAACTTATCCAGCATATGTTTTACCCAGCAGATGCCCTTTCAGCCGCAACCCATCACTGAGAAACACCCATACACTTTCATCCACACACATACACTAAGGAAAATATAGCTTACCCAATTCACCTAGCACATGTCTTTGGACTGTGGGGGAAACCGAAGCACCCCGAGGAAACTCACACGAACACGGGGAGAACATGCAAACTCCACAAAGAAATGGCAACTGACCCACCTAGGGATCGAATCAGCGACCTTCTTGATATGAGGTGATTGTGCTACCCACTGCGCATGTATAATTTTATTTTACAAAGTAATTTTAACATATAAAATAAAAAATATCATATAATTTTTCATTTATCTAATGTATATATTGTGGATTTTGGTTTCATCTGCTAATGTGCATATCTGTGTTTTGTTTACCTTTCAACATTATAATAAAGAAAATGCCTGCATACTTGCTGGAATTTTAAGAAATTGCCAGAATATATATTTATCCCATTACATATTATTTATAACAATCAATTTAAAAACATGTGAGACTAGCAAGTTCTTCCAACCTCCAATAAATAATCAAATGTGGTTTGATCCATTTAATTTCTGATTCTATCCAGAACCAGAAAATCAGAGAACATCACACCTGTTCCCAGGTCTCTACACCGGCTCAGAGACATTTAGAATAGGTTTAAAGTATTATTACTTTTCTATAAATCATTAAATGGCCTAGGACCTCAATACATTACAGATATACGGACTATATCCAAACCTAAAGATCCCTCAGATCTTTAGAATAATAAGAACTAGAAATTCCACACGTCAAAGTAGGGTGAATCGGCCTTCAGCTATAACCGCTGCTGGAATTAGCTTCCAGAAATGATCAGATGTGCTCCAACAGTAGCCACATTCAAATCAATCTGTTTAGCTGTGCCTTTACTGAATGAGCACTGTGCTGCGTCCAACAGATCGCACTATTGTCTTTCTTTTTTTCTTCATTCTTTTATAACCTGTTTAACACATTTTAATCTGTTTTAATCACTGTTATACTTGTCTCTTTTATTCATGTTTATGTAAAGCACTTTGAATTGGCACTGTGTATAAAATGTGCTATATAAAACTTGCCTTGCCTTAACATGCAAGCATTTAATTAAGTATCTAACAAAATTCATTCATTCATTTTCTTGTCGGCTTAGTCCCTTTATTAATCCGGGGTCGCCAGAGCGGAATGAACCGCCAACTTATCCAGCAAGTTTTTACGCAGCGGATGCCCTTCCAGCCGCAACCCATCTCTGGGAAACATCCACACACACATTCACACACACATACACTCATACACTACGGACAATTTAGCCTACCCAATTCACCTGTACCGCATGTCTTTGAACTGTGGGGGAAACCGGAGCGCCCGGAGGAAACCCACGCGAAGGCAGGGAGAACATGCAAACTCCACACAGAAACGCCAACTGAGCCAAGGTTCGAACCAGCGACCTTCTTGCTGTGAGGCGACAGCACAACCTACTGCGCCACTGCCTAGAAGATACTGCGCTACTGCCTCGCCCCTAACAAAATTCAATAAAACGTTTTTTTAAAACCATTACGTTTTTCATGTCTGTGAAAAATTATTCAATTGATTATAATTATTATGCAGTTTAGTAATAAACATCTTCAGTACACTTTTTTGTAATATCTCTGTTACTCGTCTGTAAAACTTGCTTTAGAGGTAATAAAATAAACCTTAACCCTCAAGTATGGCTTTACATATAAGGATGATTGTCCTATTTCGCTGAAATTTTTAGTATTAGATGCACATTTGAAGAGAAAATAACATCAGCAAATTTTTTTATTCCTACAAGTATGCTGACACTTCAAACCATGATGAAGGATTGCAATTAACAAAGTGTTTTAATAAACCCCTTTAATCATATACTACAGAGTAAACAGTGGATTATTTATTGCGACACATTATTGTTGCACAACTGTTCTGTGGGTCGTCAGAGATTTAAAGAACATTTTTACATTTCAAGAAAATATTTGTGAAACCGGTGTCTAATGTTTGCAAAAACACTGTTGACATTGCTGTATAATTTGCCATTAACATTGATTCTAATCACTTGTTATACTGTCTTTTTAAAAAACAAGACCACCAGAAACCAGTTACAAAACTATAACAGTCAGATTGTTGAAGGGAAGACGATTATTCCACATGAATAAGTGAAAAGAAAATGCTTGGCAAGCACATTTTACATTGAAAATGGGAATTATACCAAAAAAAAAAAACATTCACAGATATTGCATGTTTCCTAATTGTTTCAGATCAAACACAATTTTCAAAAAATGTAAATATGATTATGCAGAAATCATCCTGTGAGTGAGGCAGTATTGCTTAACTCTTTTCAATGCCATTATAAATAATGTAAAAAATCGTTTAAATATAATCCTTGTGTTTATCAAAAAACAGATGTGATTATATCATCACACTTTAACTCAGTGCTTCCCAACCCTGTTCCTAAATGCACACCAACGTTGCACATTTTCAACCTCTTCCTAATCAAACACACTTGAATCAACTCATTAGATCATTAGAAGATACTCCAAAACCTGAAGTTAGTTGGTCATATAACGGAGACATCCAAAATATGTACTGTTGGTGTGCCTCCAGGAACAAGGTTGGTAAACGCTCACCTTACATTATGTCCTAACTTTTCTTATCTCTGCACTGATACGATACAAAAACTGGTTATAGGCCTTTTTAAATAATGTCAGGCGTATGCATATACATTTACAAAATAAGATTTCAGACCCTGAGTGAAGCAAACATCACTTTGTTAGGGCTGTGTCGAAATCAGACACGATTTTCAGTCAAAAGCAAAGCATTGCATTCAGTTATGATCCCCGAGAGGACCGCTTTTCATATTTGGGTTTTCAACAACCTTATATTCAACATTCCCAGCAAAACTACCATTCCGATCTACCAAAGCAAAGAGAAACACCACATTTGTACAAATTGTATAGCTTGGTTTGAAAATTGGTGATGATGAATCATTTTAAAATTACAGGCTCGTAATACAGTCGATTTATTAGACTGTGTTTGTTTATTTATTAGATGAGTGTTTGTTAAGTGTCAAGAAAGGTAATGATCAATGTCACTCTTTATCCAGTTCATTTCTATACACTCACTTGCTTTTAAGTATATAAGTGTAGGAGTTCAATTCCAATTTGTATCACATCACTTCTAATCTTGAATAATATGAATTAACAAGCCTTTAAGTGAAACGAATTTTGTGTAATCATATTGAAATTAAAGAAAAAAAGATCACCCAAAATGAAAATGTATTATTGATTTACTCACCCAGACATTAAACAGAACATTAAAGAAGATTTTTAGTCTAAAAACTGTGCTCCTTGGTGATATATAAGATAAAAGTGAAGGGCTATCTCCATTTAAAGAGGCAGAAAAACATATAATGACAAAACACATTGAATACCTGTGCCTAATGATGATATATTGAGGTCTTATGAATCAACCCAATCGATCTGTGAAATAAATTGAACATTAACAGCATCATTACCTTTATAAATCATCAAGGACCATGATTTCAGCTAAAGTTTTACAGAATAAAAGTCACCTACATCTTGGATGGCCTGAGGGTGAGTAATCTAACAGTAATTTCCCAGCAGGCAGCATGACATCAGATTGACGTTGTATCCCAACGTTGTGGGACGTTGCATTTTGTTTAGAAATGAAAATTCCGTTGTAGTTAGAACCCAACAACAGCCCGACGTCAATGCCCATTTTTGGTTACTTTCTAATGCAACCTAAAAATCAACCAAATATTAACGTCTAATGTTGTTACAGCTTGACGTTTTGTAAACGTTACCATTATGATGTCGATTAGATTTTGGTTGACAAATAAATGTCAGTATTTTACGTCAATATGACATTGGTTTAAGATGTCAGCTCGATGTTGGATTTTGGTCACTTTCCAACACAACCTAAAATTGAGAAAATATCAACGTCATTTCACGTCGTTATTGGAAGTCAAAATAACATTGTCCTTAGAGGCTTGCGACCTAAATTTAACCTAATATTGACCTCTTATGACGTTTTGTGTCTGCTGGGTTTGTATTAATCTCCTCCCTTAAATTTTCAGATTATTGAAATGAAAGTAAAAGTTCACCCAAAATGAAAATGTATTATTAACTTACCCATTAAGCAGAACATTAAAGATTTTCAGGCTAAAAACTTTGTTCCTTAGAGATATATATAAACGAAAATGAAAGTTGCAATTTAAGAGGCAGAAAAACATAAACTGAAAACACAAATTGAATACTTGTGGCTCAACCTAATCGATCTGTAAAAAAAAAAAACATTTACAGCATTATTACCTTTATAAATCAACAAGGACTATGAGTCCAGCTACAATTTTACAGAATAAAAGTCTCCTACAACTTGGATTAGTAATTTAACTGTAATTTCCCAGCAGGCACAGGACATCAACTTGAGATAAGATTGACGTTGTATCCCAACGTTGTGGTACGTTGCATTTTGTTTGGAAATGAAAATTGGGTTGTTGTTAGAACCCAACGTCAGGCCGATATCAATGCCCGTTTTTGGTTACATTCCAACGCAACCTAAAAACAACCAAATATCAGCGTCTAATGATGTTACAGCTTGACGTTGTGTGGACATTAACAATTTATTTTCTATCAGACATTGGATTTGTCAGTATTTGAGGTCAATAAATTGAACGTTTACAGCCTCATTACCTTTATAAATCATCAAGGACCATGATTTTATCTAAAAATTCTACAGAATAAAAGTCACCTGCATATTAGATGGCCTAGGGGTGAATAATCTAACAGTAATTTAACACCAATCACTCCCCTAAATTTTCATATTTCCTGGTATATGCACATATAAAAGAATGAGACATGTGCTCACAATATCAAACATTACGGCACAAGCAGCATAAAACTAATCAATCCTTTGGGCATCACTGGCTCGTGTAATGATGGCAGAACAATAGCGCGTTGACCCTTGAGCCCACTCTTTTCTAAACAGCAAGCCCACGCATAAACATACACCAGATAAAGCACTTAAGCAAATGATTCAGGCTTTGCAGGATTTCTCCATCTACACAAACCAGCAGAGGATAAAAATCCCCATGGCATCTGGAGGGAACAGACAGACAGTGCACTTGTGGTGACACTGGACAGATCATTCAGAAATATCTGACATGAGCTAACAAGGGCAGACAGAGATATATATATCAAAAAACATCCAGCGGAACAAAGTCTCAGCAGTAACACGTTCACAAGGACACTGACTTCAGCCTGTTTCACACATCCTGCGTCTGCAGACTCATGCTTTCACACTGACAGCACTTCAGCAGCACTAATAGTGAAAATTAAATATCTATACTGAAAGCATTTTCTAGGTTGCTACATTGCATATTTATTTTAGTAAAGGGCTTGAACTTTGCGTGAAGTGCTTTAAAATGTGCATGTTTTTATCCGAAATGTGATGTAATCTCAACAAAAAAATGAAAAGGGGCGGGGCATATAGCAGCTCCTCCCCATTTATAAAAAAACTGCTGATAGTGTTTAGTTTTATCACAGCTCCTCCAGCGGGAGTGTTAGAGAAGTGTCTTGAAGGGGGCGGGGCGGGGCATGTCAGATAATGGGAAGCATTTGATTGGTCAGAAGATTTGATGAGAAACTGAAGTATGATGTGATGTCGAAAAAATCGTTGATCCATATAGGCGGAAGTGACAAACTGCAAGATTTGGATGTTTATATCAGGTTTATATTTAATTAATTTTTTCAGGTTTTAATTTAACTATTTATATTAAAATTTTGTCACTGTTTTGGAGCAAATTAGCTAATAGATATCCTAAAAACTAACATACTGACACTAACATCTCTATTTTTTATTGTAATTTCACAGGGCCTTTTAACTAAATTGAAATTTGTACATATACTGTAGTTGTTGGTAAATTGACAAGGCGGGTAATCTTTGCTCCGTTAACTATGAAAAAAATCACTGTAAATCACGTCTTGGTGTGGCTTATTGAGTTCTTTTGGCATCGTCAACACATTTAAGTCGTCCTGGGAAGTTTGTACTGACGAGTTGATAAGTGGTAATTATGGCATCTTGTGCATTGTTGTCAATTCTTTTGATAAATTTCAAGAAAATATAGCAGGGTTTGTTAACTCTTCTTATTGAAAAAGAAGTTTCGCATCAGGTATGCTTTTATTTGTTTAATTTAAGGTAATTATATAGAAACGAATTAATTATTATATTGGAATTACCTTTTTGGTAAATAAAAAGCCTGATTAGCCTGAAAGACGTTGCATCCATCAATTTCATCATGTTTAGTTTAAATAACTGTAAACCACGTCTTGGTGTGGCTTATTGCATTCTTTTGGCATCATCAACACTTATGTTCTATTTAAGTTGTCCTTGGAAGTTCGTACTTACGAGTTGATAAGTCGTAATTATGGCGTCTTGTGCATTCAATTAACTTTCGTCTGCACTTGACGGCGATGTAATTCTTTTGATAAATTAGGGTTTGTTAACTCTGCTTATCGAAAAAGAAATTTCGCACCAGGTGTGTTTTTACGCTTTTAAATTTTTAAGCCACTTTAAACTAATCATATAGAAATGTATTAATTATAATATTGCAATGACTTTTTAGTAAACAAAATGCCAGACTAGCCTGAAACACGTTGCATCCATCAATTTCACCATGTTTCATGTTGACATACCCCATACTCACAATTCTGAGTTTCCCAATCGTAATCATGACTTTGTGGTAGCTCGTAAACACAAATTATCCAACATGACTTTACTGCACCATTTATGACAATGAGCTGGCGTGTCAAGGTGGGAGCATAAAGTAGCTTCATAAAGGGAAGGAGCTGGTTGGGTGTTTGTAGGCGGCAGGCCAGAGTCACGGTGGCAGGCCAGATTGACCGTCAGGCCACCGATGCTCCCTATGGCACGTCCGCCCCTGGTGTTTGATCAGGGTTGGAGCAAAACTGTGCAGAGCCACGGCCCTCGACACTGACACATGTTTTCCAATATTACATTATGCAATTCACACAACCCTCTCTAGATTTACATGGACATAACTTTGCACTGATGAGAAGTACCTAAAAAAATTCCACACACCTGGTAACAACTTGTTAAGGTGGTCAGTCAAAGGAAAGTAAGGTGTTGGAAGTATTACAGTGATCTCTGTGGAAGCTGAATTTAATGGGTAAAATGGGTAACTGTTTAAAAAATGTTGCACACTAGGGCTGCACAATGTATAGTTTGACAATCGATATGGCAATGTGTTTATCAGCAACAATCATATCGCAGGAGTAGATTATCAGCAACAACAGACAGTTGTTTAGTACAAAAAGAACATCAATCTATAGCGTGGACCGCATAAATATCAGTGTGAAAGTTGTAATCTGTTAACTTAACCAGCAAAAAAAATAAAAGCAACAAATGCAGGATGCATAAAACAGGCCTTACAGAGCACTTTATGCTTGTGTAGCAAGGCCCTCATGGTCGTTTCTGATTACAAAAATGCTTTACAGCAACATAAACATGCGTTGGTATTGGTAAGCAAAAATCTCTCCTAGCTCAATTTATCCCTGTGTGTGCAAACTGTAAAAAAAGCTAACCGTATCGCAAATATAAACATTTCTGTCACTGTCAAAATGCAAAGGTTCTCCCAAGGGGACTCAAGGTGCAACTATCATAAAAAAAAACAAGCAGATCATTGAGGCGAACCGTAAGAGAAACGCTCATTCGTCGCTGTTCTCTGTTGTGGAGGCAGTAGTAGCAGTGGCTTTAGCAACAGTCGCTGCCAGTCTGCTCACTGAAGCCCCCTGATCCAGCTCCTCTGACTCCTCCCCCTCCACCTCCTGAAGGGTGTGTCTATGTGGTGGGCGTAACCTGTGTCTGTATGGGTATAAGAAGAGAGCAGGGTCAGGCATGGCCATTGGCTCTTCGGGGCCCGTCACCCTCTCGCGTGGCACACATTCTCGGGTGCGCTCAGTGCGGAGCTGCGTGGAGGATCTACCAGAGCTCCTCCGTTTGGGTTTGATGACAGTTGGGCTGCAGGCGCTGGCTTGAGGTGAAGGGTGGACCGGGGGTCTGTCTGCTCCAGGCTGGGGCGGTCTTCTGCGCTGCTGCTGGAGTTTCTGCTTGGCTGAGTGCAGCTGGAAGGACAGGTACGCTGCCGCCTCCGTCTGCTTCTGCAGCTCCGTGTTGAGCACTGTGGTCCTGTGACTGCGGTTTTTCAACTCCTCCAGGAATCGGCGCTCCTTCTCTTTCAGACTGGCACGGAGAGCACCGACCAGCACTGATTTCTGGCTCAGCTCCCAGTGCAGGTCACTCTGGATTAGCTGCTGCGCCTCCAGATGCTCCTCTACTTCATGACAGCGGGACTCCAGCTGCTCCTCCTCTTCCAGCACCTCTGAAACACATCAAGAACAAAAAAAACATTGAATATACAGTAGTACTACAATAAAATTTAATCTGATAAAACAATGATTAAATGAATAAAGTTTAACCACTGTGCTAATCCCCAAACTTAAAGGGCACAAATGACTTTTGGAAGCTGTTTGAATGGGACTGTGTGTAGGTATAGTATGTCCACAGTCAAATTGGAGTTATAAATTGTTGTATAAACACAACAAGTCTCTTTTTTTATTTCCTGACGTTAAAATAGGATCAAAATCACAGTGATTCACCAAATTGATTGACAGGAGTGTATTAACATGTTTTCGTAGTAATGTGTATAATCATGTCCACAGAACAGGATTTGCAAAGAAACTGGGATTAAAAGATCTGTTCCAACTCTCTGTGATTGGCTGTTAAATATTTTAAAAACAGAGCATGTTTGTAACAAAGAAAAGACTGTAAATCACCATGTATTTTCACAAGATTTATGTGAAACATAAAACACTTAACTTGTATCTAATAATAGGCTGTCTATGTACACTGAAAAAAAAATATGTCTGCAAAATTCATGCAAACAATTTATGGGCCATTCTTTAACTACGGGCTCTTTTAGCCTTGTGAAGTTGAGTAAAAAAACGTAGCCTCATAAGTTTAAACAATTTGTCTAGTTTTAAGATCTGCAAGAGGACTAACTTAGATAAGAAGAGTAACCTTTTTTCCATCGTGAACTGAACAAATGTCATTTCCACCACATCTCAATACACAGCTTTTATTTCAAGATGAAATAAATTTTGGCAGTCAAACCTTTTGTCTAAGATCATTTTTATATCTAGTTTAACCAATCTTTTCACAATATATATAATAATTATACATTTGTCAATGAAAAAATTAGTTGTATGCTGAATTGTACACCTGTCACACTCTAAAATTAAATATTATTTTGATTAGGAGCTTATTAGGAAATAAATAAAGAAAATTTATAAATTAAATAGAGCATGAACTTATACATTGTGAATACACTTTTAATGTGTGATGAGAACTTTTAAAACATATTTTTTAATGTTTATGGTGATGGAAATGACAGTGGTGAAAATGACATTTTAACAGTTTATTGTGAAAAAATGAAAATTAGCTTCACCAATTAGCTTTGAATTGATAATAGCCTTTCATGTATACAAAATACTCTTATTTACCTTTATTTTGTTTTGTTTTTAAAAACATCTTTGAAGGTAAAACATATTTGGAAATGATGTAGAACAAATGTATTTCCTTATCAAGCAATGTTTACCTAGATTTTTCTCCAAGTGTTGTTGATAAACATTTAAAGTCCCTCCATCTTGAACATGTTCTCAGCTGGCACTATCATTTTTAGAGAAACCACCTAAATAATCTTTCACACAAACTTTTTTAAGCGACATTACTGTGTTGTGGAGGAAATGAAACTGATACTGTGCGACAGCTATATTTTGTATAAAAATAATATTGATGATAGTCTCACATTAATAACTAAAATATTTAACTTATTTCACTTGTGCTTAATTAAGTTACAATATTAGTTACTAGATAAATATTTTTTAAAGATTATTTTCATTGTTAAAGTTTAAAAATGGGTGTGCTACAAGGTGAAAACAGTGATTTTAACCTAAACAGAGGTTGAACAATATGAAAAATAAATATAATAGAAAGGTAGTAAATTTTTTAAAGTAAAAAAAATAATTTGAACAAAATTCTATATATTTTTTGGTATCTGTTTAAAGGACATAAAAGTGCCTGAAGTTGAAGAATTACCCTTATATGTATTAAATTTAAACAAACAATTAAATTAAGCAATGTTCAACTTCATTTGTTTGTTTAAATTTAGCCAAAATAAATTGTTTACAGCCACTTAACTTAAACAAAGTCAGTAAATAAATTAGTTGAATCCTTTTTTCAGTGTACATTACAACACATTATGCATTATTATGTACATTATGAATCTGTTGAACACCCTTTCATCTATTGATTTGCTTTTATTTTATGGATTCCAGCCCCTCTAAACCCCCTGCAATTCACACCCATTATAGATGCGGCTTAAACATCAGCCAGAGAAAGTGAAGCCCCTGAAGCTAAACACCACATGCTCCTCCAGCTGCTGAAAGAAGACCATGATCTCACCAATGATCCACCTGAGATAAGAAACAGCTATATCTAATATGAACACACCCCCATTTAAAATCAAATTTCAGCAACGAAAAGCGAATTTGCAACTAATCTGAGATCTAAAAGGTATAAGCGGATGTGGCTGTGGAAAGTAGACAAAAGGCTTTTCTGTGTCCAAGGATTACAGACTCACAAAGTAAAGCCAAATCAACTAATCTCAACTGTGGTCTGGCTACTGGCTGGGTGAGCCATCTGTTCAGGGTTGTCAGACACATTAAATGTCTAGGACAAGACCTCTATGAGACTATAAGCACAAAGGAAAGCACCGTTGCATAAAAAACACAAAAAAATTTTTAAAAAGAAACCTCTGTGTCTTTCATTCGAAGTAGGGAAGAGTGGGGACAAAAGTAACAGTTTTCATAAAAACCTAACTTTAAATGATGATGTTTTAAGCAGAAAAATATATTTTTGTGGTTACTAACAACAGTAGACTATCAAAATCTGCTGTTATTTTGTATCCAAACATCACTTTAAACAAAGGTTGCACATTGTTACTTTTGACCCCATAGGCAGGGACGAAAGTAACACACAAGTGAGTCAAAAGTACAATATTTGTTAGATTTACTGACTTCATCTTGTTTATTTTAAATATATCTGGCTATGACCTTGGTAATGTTAGCTGCAAACATATTTTGTCCTTTATTTTTGCAAAAAATTTAAAATAAACAGCATTTTCAATTTCATTTCAGCTCTATCAAATGTTTTAAAAGCAACCCAACAATGCAAAATGTTACAATTTTCTATAATTTTTAAATATCTTTATTATAATTGGCAATTTACAATAATCTTATAAAACATATGAGTCAAAACACTGAAAACTAATGTGAAATTGAAAAATAAGACATGGTTATTAGCAGTGGGACATTAATAACATTCTTACTTTTTTTACTTACAATTTTCCTCCTCAGAAACTCTTGCCATTTAAACCTGATTCACCTTTAAGCTGAAAAACTTGGATGTGTTTTTGTACTAAATAACCTGTAGATTGATCATTAGTATGACACATGAAAAGAGAAACAACTTGTAATAAGCAAAAAAAACAAAACAAAAAAACACACAATATAATAATTTACTTTTTGCACTACATGACAGGATATTTTGCAGTTTGATCAAGGTTTGTATGATGAATGTGCTGTTATAGCTTATAAATCAAATATTGTCAGGGCTTTAAGAAAATCGCGTTGTTACTTGCATCTCACGTTACTTTCGTCCCCGCTCTCCCCTACGTTTTTGTACTGGATGAAGTAGAATATTGTGATTTTCTACATTATACTTAAGTAAAAAAATTTATTCAGTGCCTCAATATTAAACAATATTTTCGTTTATTTGATTCACAATAAATATGATTTGATTTAGATTAAATAAAATGTTATAGTTTAAACCAAATGACAGTAATTATTTCAAAGTTGGTTCAAAGTGTAATTGTGTTCAGTGAAATGTGTTTCAGATAAATAACAGGACAAGTAGACTGAAAGCGAGATTCAGGAAGTGTCAGACCTTCTACATGTGATCTGCACAAACTCGATGACCTCGTGCTTTGAGCTCAACATTTTTCCCTCATTTTTTGTCTTATACGATTTGTTAAACTGCACGTAGCACACACTCCTGCCTATCATTTTGTCCAGATCGCCCTAATTTCACATGCAGCCTTTCAGTGTCACCCAGTGTGATACAAGCTCATTGAGCGAATAAAGAAAAGGCTGTTATCTGATCCCTAAATCTGATCTCTGCACTGTTCTTCAGTCTCAGCTGCTTCTAACCCTTCCTTTTAATAGAACACATAATGAACTGAGATTTGGACAACAGTCCCTTAACAAAGGCTGATAAGAAGTGATAGATATGAAAGAAAAAAAAACAATGAGTGTCATCCATTTAAAGGGATAGTTCACCCAAAAATGAAAATTCTGTCACCTATAGTTTAGTTTAGTTTATTTGTTTACAGGGTCAATGCACATTAATAAACATTACTGTAAAATGTGCCAGAATTAGCCAAAAATAGCTATTTTTCATCCGTAGACCCCTTACAGAATGTTAAAAAGTCACACCTAAAATAAAAGCACAACATTAAACATTAAATACACTTTCATATAAAAAATACAGTTAAAAAAGTAAAAAAAAAAACAAGAACAGTTTGATGGCAGCAGAAGAGGACAAAAAGGCAAAGACAACAGTACAAATGTGTCAAGAGTACTAATGCTGACAATGCTGGTTTGTCAATAACCAATTTTTAACATGAGACTGAAAAGAACGAAAAGTGCATGATCTTCTAATTGTTGGTGGGATGGAGTTCCATTCCCTAGCAGCTTTCACTGAAAATACCGATTGACTGAATTTACTTTTTTTGAGAGGAATAATGCACTGTCACTTCCTCTAGTAGTTCTATAACCATTGACTTCCTTAGTGTATGTTTTTCCAACTGGAAGTCAATGGTTACAAACTCAAATTTGGAATGAGTTAAAGGTAAATAAATAATAACAGAATTTAGGTTTTTGGGTGAACTATCCCTTTAGTACTGCCAGTGTGCCAGTGATAATGTCTGAAATTATTTTGAGCATCAGACAGTGTTTGGTTGCTGTGAGATTCTTTGAAGATTCAATGAACACATCCAAAACATGCTGATGTTTGGTCTTGGATGAGTAATCATTCACAGCACTGACGTATTACTTTGTAAACAGTCTTGGGAGGCACAATGCAGCATCGGTTAACACATTTTGTTTCTATTTTTGATGCACTGCATGATTACTTCAGTGGTTTGTTTTCCCTGTTTGTGGGAAATATAATTATTTCATCATTTTTAAACACCAAGGCTTGGTTTCACAGACAGGGCTTATAGACTAAGCCAGGATTATAACATAGTTCGGGTAGAACATTTAAAGTACAAATCAAATCAAAACTAACCATATGATTTGGTTAGCTCAGTCTGCAAGTTTTGTGGTGAGCAATTCATCTCTGGATGTCATTAAGAAATAAAAAGTTTTGCCCTGGTACTCTTTAATTTAAATCTGAAAATGCACTTCCTGTTTGTTTATAGTTAAATTGTCAGATTACATCTGTCTTAGGTATTGAGCATGGCTAACATACTTCACCACGCAGCTTCAACTGTCTGTGAAGTAGTCATAGTCAAACGCTTTCTGATCATTTTTAGGCTCATTTCCTCAGGAATTACCTCCCCTCTCTTCAGTCCAGACAGAAGTGGCCCACTGACAATCCTAATTTACAACAAAACACTGTTATTCTGATTCTTGATCTCTTGTCTCTGATCTCAGTGGCCAGTGGGAAAAGGTCATCTCCCTCCATCCTAGCAAGGATGGCTGTTATAGGATCACTGATGTCCAGGTTAAGGACTGGATGTAGACAAGCATCACTGCCCGCAAGGTTCCTCTCCCGGCCATACCTGATACTCTGTAAACTGTCAAATTTGCATTACAAATTTGTGGGGCGGCTGTTGAGAAGTTTTGTGTCCCTAAACTGCAAAGTAGTATCACACCCCTGGTCAGTTCAAGGTTCACTCTAATCTCCGCCCACTTGATCTCTGGCCAATCAGGACTGCCTCAAAGGCTTTATTAGTGGCACCTGTGCCCACAGTTAGCTCTTTCTGGCTGCACAGAGCTGAACTGTGCGGAGGACTGAATCTGGTTTCTTTTGGTATTAGTTGTTTTTTTGCTGATTACTGAAACATTGTCGCCACCCCCCCCCCCCCTGGCTTCAAGCTATCAAGCTAGCCATCTAAGCATTCTCTCCTAACTCCTTTTCATTGTCAGTTTTGACAACAAACAGAAATAATGAGGAGGAGCTGTCTGTTAGTTTGTAATAACTCTCCCCAAACACCTTTACAGATCGTTCTGAATGAAATGCCTACTTTACTACAGCAAGCTCGCTGCAGAAAAACAAGCCACGCCCACTGCTTTCTCATTCAATTTTTCGTTTCTTTAGGAACTGCGTCACAATACGAAAAAAAAAAAACGTTCACAGCTTCCGGTTCATGCAGACTTTTAGTAATTTTTAATCATGGTGCCTTAAAATAAAAGTCAAATTGGAAGAATTATGAATCTTTCATGGGAAACACTTGACTTTTTGTGACTTTCCAAGTTGGGGTTTATCTGTCAAAATAAATGTCAGTACAACTTGATAAGTTCAGAATAATAAAAAATAAATTCCTTTTCCTTCGGCTTACTTTTTACCCTTATTACCTACCCTTATTTATTAGGGGTCACCACAGCTATTCCAGGATATGTTTTACACAGCCGATGCCCCTACAGCCACAACCCATTGGGAAACACCCATACACTCTCACATTCACACATGCACTTATACACTATAGCCTATTTAATTTATTCAATTCACCTTTTGCGCATGTCTTTGGATTGAGTGGGAAATCGGAGCCCATGGAGGAAACCCACATGAACACAGGGACAACATGCAAACTCCACACAGAAATGTCAAGAGGCCCAGCCGGGACCCGAACCAGCGACCTTCTTGCTGTGTGGCAACAGTGCTAACCACTGAGCCACCGTGCCGCCCTATAATCAAAAATGTACCTTAAAAATAAGTCAGAAGAACTTTCTTTTTTGTTTTGTACAAGCTTTTTAAATAAACATCATATTTACTTTAAACTGAATGATTAAGTAATAATTAACGGCTGACATTGGTTAATTTGTCTATACGTTTAAAAAAAACAATCTTAAAGTTTTTCAGTTTGTCCTTGAGCTAAGTATAGTCTCTCCTCGCCACGATGGCAGCCCTACAAGACTTCATTAAAATATAAACACCGGCAAATCCTCAATATGACAGAAAATTAAACACTAACACATGCCTCACAACAGAATTATTGTGCAAAAACAAAAACTCTAAAATTTCATTATTTCAACATGTAAATCAATTTGATTTTGAGTTTACAGAACTTTGCAGAAGAAAAATCTTACAGACCCCAAACTATTAAATGTTAGTAAGATTATCATGCGGACTAGAAAACAATTAGCCACTTACATATTTAAATACATTTTTAAACTTCTCATTACAATTGAAAAATATATTTTTGCCCCTGATCTCAGCTTTCCCATCCTATTTTCCTCTGTCTCCTTGTCCAGCTTTGTCTCAAAAATAAAGCGGTAACTGGACACCCCCATTGGGACAGTGCAGCAAGAACAGAGGAAAACGCAGGCAGGATCAATTATAAGGAGGATGAGACTGCATTGGGTGCAGGAAAGAGAGGGATGATCTGCGGTATGGAGAGGAGTATTCTGCTTCACAATCGGCGAGCACTTCATATCTGACTGCTTCAAGATTTAGACTCGTAATTATTATATTCATTAGTCATGGTCATAAATACTACACGTGCCTTATTAAAGGGCACCTTTGATGAAAATCAACTTTTGTTAGTGGTTTAGACCAATCTGTGTGCATGTATAGTGTGTTCACTGTTATACTGGAGTGATGTACACCCAACTAGTGTCTTTTCTTAATTTTCCTGACATTAAACTGATCTTAACTGCTATAATCGCCATGGCCGCATGGTGTCAATAAATGCTAATATGTGTGTGAGACTCATCATTTCAGAAAGGCTTGAATAAACTCCACCGCAAATACATTAAATAAACTTACTTGGTATTTGACTAATGAGCTGTATTTCAGCTTTATCCGAGTCTGTCTCCTTCACTGTGCTGTTTATCAGATGTAACGCATGAGAAGCAGCTCATTTGCATTTAAAGCCACAGGATACAAAAACAGCTACAATGTATTCAGACACCAAAACGGGCAGATTCAGGAGTCTGATCTTCGTACCTCACTTAAATGATCTAAGATAATTTGGCAGATCCTGGATCTTATAATCTTGATAACTGATCTCTGGCAAATATGGTTCTTCGATCAAGTTCGCAAATCAGATTTAAAATGTCTGGATAAACTGATCTGAGATTGCTGCGTGTGTTGTGAAGGACTGATCTATCGGTCCTCAAAATCATGATCAGCAATGCAACGATTGGCTGACGGCACAGCAGCGTAATGACATCATCTAATAATATTCAATTATCCATGTGAGCAAAATGACAAAATTAGCAGTAAACAGTTCCTTTTACTTTCCACATTTGTTATAAGTTGCAGACTTTAAACTTTCATGTGTCAAGTGTTTTCATCATGTATTTCAATACATATCAATGTATTTAGTTCTACATTTAGAGAAGATTTTCTTTATTATAGTAGCCTAGGCCTACTCAAGTTTTTTTAATCTGCGTAAGCAATAACTGTATAAATAAATTTTGCATCAAAAAAGCATTTTTATATCGGTAAAGATGTCTGCAACTTCTGTAAAGCATCAAATCACTGGCATTGTCATGACTGTGATTGTCCACCAGATGCCACTGTAGTTCGCCAGCAACTCCCAGCGAACTACAGTGGTGAAAGAACTACAAATCCACACATTCCTTCGCGCACACACCTGGTCTTTCATATATACTGATTTGCAATCAGAGCTGTCTCTGTTTCCCCGTTGATTACCTGGACTATATATTCAACCATTCCACCTCTGTTTGTTAGTTTGTCGTTTGTCCTTGTTGGTATGTTGTTCCCGAGCTTGCTCTTGTGTCTTAGTTGTTATAGGCTAGTTCTAGTTTAATCTGTTTGAGTTCCTGGTTTGTTTATTTTGTTACTTTGTTTTTTGGATTTTGTCACTGTTGCTGCACTATTTCACATTAAAAATCTGCACTTGGATCCTACACCCTGTTTTTGTTCCGGTTTCGATCTCCCAAACGTGACAGGCATATTAACTGTCAAAACATGTTTATGACTGCATAAATATATTATTGCTTTTAAAGTCACATTGTTTCTATTATCATACACAAATTGTACTAAAGTGATCTTAAAATTCATATCAATAAGTTTTCTCTTTGCACCACTAACAAATTTCTCAACATCACAGCACATAATGAAAATCAAATAGAAGACATAAAAATACAGAGTAATAATAAAAATAGAAAAGTACATAAATTAACCAAGGTTTATGCTGATTTAAGGTTTTGCAAAAATGTGCCTGAAATCCTGGGACCTACATATTCAAGGAATGGAGTCCAGATCTGATAAAAAGTGTCTCTTTTTTCCTTGACCAGTGAGTAAAGTATTCCAATGACATAAGATCAAATATTACGTTATGCCATTCTGATACTGTTGGTGGTTTATCAGATATTCATTTGAGAAAAATACATTTACGTGCAGCATAGGTAGGAAAGTTAAACAACTTCCTGATTCTTGCTCTCTTCAAATTATTATCAGTAAGACCTAATAAAAAGTTAAGAGAATCGAAGTTCATCTTATATTAAATATAAGACTTAATCTCCTACAAATCTGTACCCAGTAGCCTTTGATATATATACAGTTCCAAATACAATGTATAAAATCACCTTCTTCAACTTTGCATTTTAAACAGAATGGAGAATAATTTGGATTAAATTTGTCTACGTAATGGGGTAATTTGAAGACGATTTAAAAGTTTGAACTGTTCCTCTTTAGTTCTATTACAGATTTATATATTGCCAGCACACTGCCAAATGTGTGTCCAAGTTTCTGGATCGATTGAACATCCCAGATCTTTCTGCTATGATGTCTTCATTTTTGCAGTTATGCAGTTTAGTAAACCCAATATCAACATGCACACAAATAACCTATTTATTGCTGTGTTTATTAGGCCTACAACCATTGTACAGAAATACACTGCTCACAAATACTGTACATGAAAAAGGCAACATTTCTCACCAGTTTGACTCCTGCCTGGAGGCTTCATGTTCAGGTCTTGTGTGAGTTCTGTAAGTAACAGACAGATGCGCTGTTAATCTTTGGTTTCTTGGACAAACTAACTGTTTTTTTTATTTCAGAAATCTTTAGTGTATCATCAGGAGCCACAGGTTTTCATTTTGTTTTGTCAGTAAATGTTTTTTGATTCTCAAAGTGCTGGTGGTACTTGACTTGTAATTTACGAACCATCAAGCTCCACAGATACAGCTACAAATCTAAGTTTTGTTGAATTATCCACTCAACAGCCACTTTAAGCTGTTGTGAGAGAAAAACTGAATCTTTTGTGTCGCAGATATTGAGAAGGTTCAAAGCTAGCATGATCTGTGGCTCTACAAGGCAGAAAAGCAAAGATATGAATATGCAGTGCACTGCTATTTGTGCCCTTGCTGGCTCAGCAGATTTTGTTCAGGTAGGAATGCTGTGTACTATATTACAGAGAGGGAAAACACAAACCCTGCACTGACAGGAAGCTATTGACCCGTGGTTCTCTCTGTGGAGACTGTTCCATCAAAGAGAGCAGAGAAACCCTTCAAGCATTCTGGGCACCGTCAATGCATGCAAACACAGTTAGATTGTGTGCTAACATTGTTTTTGGAACAAAATCCAATTATGTGTGAATTAAAAGAAATGAAACGTGATTAGCTTCAATTATGTGGGTTATTTGAAATGTCTGTCCTCTGAGAATGACACACACCTGTGCAGCGTTTCTGAAGAGAGAGGATCTCCAGGTGAAGTCCATGCAGCAGAGTGAGCTGCTCCTGCCGGAGGAACACAATGCTCCGCTCCACACTCTCCACCTGCCGCTCCAGAGAAACCACCTGAGACCCCTTTATCAAACCAAACACACCAATACATACTGGTAAGTTGTAGTAAGCAATAAACAAGCTTATAACACTTTCATTCATTTTCTTTCGGCTTAGACCCTTTATTGATCTTGGGTTGCCACAGCGGAATGAACCACCAACTTATCCAGCATACGTTTTTTTACGTAGCGGATGCCCCTCTAGCTGCAACCAATCACTGGGAAACATCCATAAACACTCATTCACACACATACACAATGGACAATTTAGCTTACAAAATTCACCTGTACTGCATGTCTTTGGACTTGTGGGGAAAACTGTAGCACCCAGAGGAAACCCACGTGAACACGGGGAGAACATGAAAACTCCACACAGAATAGCATACTGACCCAGCCAAGGCTCAGACCAGCGACCTTCTTGCTGTGAGGTGAATCTGCTAACCACTGCACCACCGTCCAGCCCTTATAATCTTTTATTACTTTTATATAAATGGATGACACAATATGCACATATAAAGATGAAAAGGTAAGTATTTATATGCCCCTTTTTTTTAAATAAAATCATTCAATTCCTTTCCTTCAGCAAACAGTTAAAGGAACAGTTCACACAAAAATGAAAATCTATTCAACCTAAAGCGGTTCCAAACATCTAAGAGTTTCTTTCTTCTGTTGAACACAAAAGAAGATTTGTTAAAAATGTTAGAAACCTGTAACCATTGACTTCCATATTAGGAAAAACAAATACTATGGATGTCAATGGCTACCAGATTACAACGTTCTTCAAAATATCTTCTTTTGTGTTCAACAGAAGAAAGAAACTAAAACAGGTTTGGAACAAGTGGAAGGAATGTAAATGATGACAGATTTTTGAGTTTCAGATAAACTCTCCCTTTAACAGCAGAAAAGTAGTGTAATTTGAGGCGTTGTCTCAAATTTAAAACGGAACGAAGCAACATAATGCCAGCAGGGGTCACTAATACTTTATTAAAGGGGTCATGAACTGAGAAACCAAAATTCCCCTAATCTTTTGACATTTATGCGGTCGTTGTACAATAAAATTCTCCTGTAAGTTTCAGAACTCATAACAATAGCATATATTGAAGACAATCTGTCAAAATACTTTATTATGTTTAGTGAGTCTAAACTAGGGCTGCACAATGTATCGTTTTAGCATCGATGTCGCATTGTGATTATTTACAATAGTCACCTGAGCATACCCAATGTTGAATCTGGATTATAATTTACCATTTTGCGTTTTTTTTGAGGCATGTGACTGTGTGAGGGTTTTAAATGAATGCATTTTTTAAAAAAAATTTAAACACCATTTTAAGGTCAGAATTATTAGCCCCTTTAAGCTATATATTTTTTCGATAGTCTACATAAAAAACATCATTATATATTAACTTGACTAATTACCCTAACTTGCCTAGTTAACCTAATTAAGCTTTTAAATGTCACTTTAAGCTGTATAGAACTTTCTTGAAAAATATCTAGTAAAATATTATTTATTGTCATCATGGCAAAGAGAAAATAAATCAATTATTAGAAATGAGTTATTAAAACTATTACATTTAGAAATGTGTTGAAAAAAATCTTCTCTCAGTTAAACAGAAATTGGGGGAAAAATAAACAGGGAAGCTAATAATTCAGGGCGGCTAATAATTCTGAGTAATAATTCAATAATAATTCAAAGGCATCTTTGGATATATTTTCTGCTGGAGATACTGTTGTCCTAAAAAAAAATAATTGTACATATACTTAGGAACAGTATTGCAGAAAATTTGACGATTTTAAAACCTTTGCTCGTTCAAACCGCGGTATACCTTGAAAATGTCCCATGCCTAAAGGCAAAAAGGCACCACAAATTCAAGAAAAGGGATAAACCTTGGCCATGGTAAAAATTTATAATGAACATTTTGTGATAAACAACTCACTTAAGATATGTAAACAGATTAAATTATTTCTCTGTCTTCTAAATACTTATTTGGGCACCCCAATAAGTTAAAATCATGCCTTTATTCCTGGAACTCAAGACAAAACATTTCACATTGGAAAGAAAAAGGATTAGTACATATAAGAGACTTATATGTTGATAATAAATCTGCCTCATTTAGTCAGTTAAAATCAAAATATGATCTTCAATCAAGTTTTTTATATATCTACAAATAAGAGATTTTACCAGGAAAAACTTTCATGATTTGAAAATATAACCATTCACCAGACACTTTAAAATATAACAAAACACAACCCAATAGAAAAAGGTACAGTCTCTTTTTTATTACTTATTATAAGTTAATTCAAACACTGACAAAATTAGAAAAGAGTGGGAGAAGGAGCTTAATACAGAGATATCAAATACATCATGGGAAGATTATCTTTCCAAAATTCATGATTGCTCTATCAATGCAAGATTGAATTTAAAGTTATTCACAGACTTCATTATTCAAAAGTAAAATTATATACGATTTTCCTAAACGTATCCTTATTGTGCAACAAATGTAAACATTTTGAAGGTACCACTGACTCACATATTCTGGTCATGCCATAAAATTAGTTCATTTAGGCAAAAAAAAAAATTTATTTTATATCTGAAGTATACAGGACTGATCTGTCACCAGAGCCAAAACTAGGCATTTTTGGAGACACCTCAGAAATAGGAGATACATATATATCTCAGGCAGTATCTTTGTGTTTAATTTTAGCAAAGAAAATAGTTGTACAAAATTGGAAGTCGGATTACGTGCCTGTCTTTGAAACCTGGATTATGAGCTTAAGTTATGTATTTCCCATGGAAGAAATGCGATATGGGATGGCAACAAACTAAACATATTTTTTTTTATCTGGAACCCAATTATATTTTATATCAATGCTGACTTATAACTGATTATAGGTGGGATTGGTTTGACATGTTGAGTTGTGAAGCCTACACATTTTTCTATAAATTATTTAATTTTTATATTTAATTATATATTTTTCTCTTATGCTTTCTGACTGTTATTGTATTATGTTGTGTCTGACTGTTTGCATATTGTGAAATTGCACCCCTTTTTTAGTTCTGTTTATGGTATTGTTTATTTTCTTAAGCTAAAAACAATAAAAACATTTAAAGAACTAAAACTCGTCCATGGACAAATAAATGAAATACTGCCCCTCAATGGGCCCCGCAAAGGGTCCAATCTCACTGCACACACCCATAACAATTTGGTCATGGGCCCCATAAATGAATATACAGTAGATCAGAAATTATTTTTAAACCTTCCAATTTAGTTTAAATAAAAATATATCAGAGTAATATACAGTACATAGTTGATTACACTCTCAATATTGTAATGATTTTATATAATTAATGCTTATTTAAATATTTTTATGTCAATGTCACAAGTGCTATTTAATGCTATTTCCTTTAATAATATATTTACTCAATCGAGAACATATTTTATTAAATTCTTTAAATGCACATATTTAAATGAACGGTAAACCAACAACAACAGAACATGTCTTCATAAAGCTAAACTGCTCCTTAAAAGATCAATTCTGGTCTGCTTTGTCTGACCCTTAAATGACTCATGGTTAAGTCATGTTGATTCATCTTATTTTTCACTTGAATAAAGTTACATTATAAAATAGCAAAAATTGAATACTATATAATAAAAAAGATATATATATATATATATATATATATATATATATATATATATATATATATATATATATATATATATATATATATATATAAATATATATATATATAAACATTTAGAACTGGAACAATTAGATTCACGTGTAGCCTAATGTAAAATGAAACTTCTGAGCGTTTTTTCCCCTGCTTATTAATCTCTAAACATCGGGATTATTATAAACTGCTTGCAAAAACATAACACAGTAACACAGCTAACTAACACCCCACTGTACAATATTGAAATATCAATGATGAGCTGCAGCTAGCCGTTTCCTATAGGCTATTATAGTCAATTAAGCTAAAGACAAGACTGCGCATAATGTAATCCAGCACTCACCGTGTTCTCCATTCTTAAATCACTATCCAGCAGACGAGGCGTTATAATAATGAGGAGAATGAACGGACTCCTTCACTTCCACATCTCTGCCCTTCAACCAAGCGACCCATGAACATATAGGATGACGACATCTTTAAGGAAGATCAATACAAGCGAGACTTAAACAAGGATCTGCCCCGGCTGAGCTTTGACGTGAAAGACCAATTGTCAATCCTTCGTTATTTCGGCAAATGTACAGTTGCTTTATTCGACAATGTCACGATCAATTCAAGCGTTTAGCTGGCATACGCGTGCCCGTGTGTCCTGCGTCTGCCGAACAGCATCATCATCATCTTCATCGCGATGACAGACAGGAAGAGGCTCCTTCAGGACCAAAACGATGATGCAACTGATCGAGGAAACACAACTCTCTCTCTCTCTCTCTCTCTCTCTCTCTCTCTCTCTCTCTCTCTCTCTCTCTCTCTCTCTCTCTCTCTCTGCTGCTGCAGATTCTGGCTCATGCGCGCGGCTGGTGACCCTCGTCCCTCATGCTGTTGTCGTGCACGATAAGTTAAGATATTAATATGTAGGTCATTGTAAATGTCCAGCTAAATTACTGAATTACTGTGGAAAGTACAGCGGAATTATTCAGGAGCTACAGTAGCTCTAGCTTTGACACCTGACTGGGAAAGCGTTAAGTGTGTTGCTTAGCCTATAAAATTAGCATAACAATAAATGTAGCAGTTTGTGTACCATACCCTATTGTTGGATAATAAACTACTTGATTTTGAAGGAAAAGTTTACCCAAAAATTTAAATTTTGTCATCATACTTATCATTTACTAGTTCCAAATTTTGACTTTCTTCCGTTGAAAAAAAAGAAGATATTTTGAAGAATATGGATGTCAATGGTTACAGGTTTTCAGCTTTCTTCGAAATATCTTTTGTGTTCAATATGAGAAAGAAACTCACAAAGAGGTTTTTTTGGATAATCTATATACAATAGTTAAATAGAATTTGTATCGTCTTTAAAATGTATGTTTTATTGTTTGTTAAACAGACTGTTTAAAGATCTTTATCAAAACTGTACATAGATGTTTTCCAGAACATCTTTCATATGGCTTGCAGAATGATGAAACCTACAGCATAGGCTGTATAATGTTAGAGATAGATATATTTCAGATTCAAATAATATTTTCATGGCGTCATGGTGGCACAATGGGTAGCACGATCGCCTCTCAGCAAGAAGGTCACTGATTCGAGCCCAGGCTGGGTGAGTTGGCTTTTCTGTGTGGAGCTTGCATGTTTGCGAGGGTTTGCTACGGATGCTCCGGTTTCCCGCACAGTCCAAAGCCACTCATTATTGGGGAATTGACTAAGCTAAATTGGCCATAGTATATGTGTGTGAATGCAAGAGTCTATGGGTGTTTCCCAGTGTTGGGTTGCGGCTGGAAGGGCATCCGCTACGTAAAACCTATGCTGGGTAAGTTGGCGGTTCATTCCGCTGTGGTTACCCTGATGAATAAAGAGACTGAGCCAAAGAGAAAATGAATGAATAAATATTTTAATAGCCAAAAAACAGAAACCTTGGTGTTGATTTTATTTTCAGCAGTAATATGAGCATTTTCCATCCCATATGCCATTCCAGACTGGCTATTGTTCAAATTTGCAACACATTTTTACTTTTTTTGTAATTATTTTAATTCATGTGCCAGTTGTCAGCAGCTATTCTTAGGCCTGCCTTATTTTATAAAAGCAACCATTATGTTCTAAAGAAAGAAGGAAATGACAATAATTAACACCTCACAAAGAGTTTTACCACAATTGCTTTTCTGAAATAAGACATCCTTGATGACTGCCGCAGCACCAGGCTCTGCATTTAGTACTTCTGTTACTCGTTATCATTTGTGGACTCCAAACCAATACAAATTGTGCACTTCTTCCATAATGCAATTGTTTGATAGATATGTGTACAATATGGTAGTGTTTCTCAACCATGCTCCTGGAAGACCACCAACATTGCACGTTTTGCATGTCTCCTTCGTCTGTCACACCCATTACAGGTCTTCTGCTAATGAGCTGATGATCTGAATCAGGTGTGTTTGGTTAAGAAGACATTAAAATGGGCAGAGTTGGTGGTCCGGAATATACACTGGATTGCATGACCTTGAGCTCAGCTTTGACAGCTTTTGATGTTGAAATATGAGTAAAGAAAGTGACTTTTAATGATATTTTTGGAAACTTTAAGCAATATATTGTCTATGTTTGTTCAATTTTAGTTTTTTAATGTCTGCGTATACACTAGGGCTACTATTGGAAAACACTGCCATTGCGATTTTTTCATTCACTATGATATACAGTTGAAGTCAGAATTATTAGCCCCCGTTTTTTTTTCCCCAATTTCTTTTTAACGGAGGGAAGATTGTTTCAACAAATTTCTAAACATAATAGTGTTATTAACTAATTTCCAATAACAGATTTACTTTATCTCTGCCATGATGACAGTAAATAATATTCGACTAGATATTTTCAAGACACTTCTATACAGCTTAAAGTGACATTTAAAGGCTTAACTAGGTTAATTAGCTTAAATAGGCAGGTTAGGGGAATTAGGCAAGGTATTGTATAATGGTTTGTTCTGTAGACTATCAAAAAATTAGCTTAAAGAGGTTAATAATTTTGTCCTTAAATTATTTTTTATTATTATTATTAAAAACTGCTTTTATTCTAGGCAAAATAAAAGAAATAAGAATTTTTCTAGAAGAAAAAAATATTATCAGAAATACTGTGAAATTTCCTTGCTCTGTTTAACATAATTCGGGAAATATTTAAAAAATAAAATTCAAAGGAGAGCTAATAATTGTGACTTCAACTGTATATTGCAATATAAATGCAATTTCACCAGATGACTTGAACAGCTTGTAAATGATTCATAATTTTAGATTGATTGGGATGATTGTGTAGAGAGCGTATCTAAATTAAATATCATTTTTAAAGATTGACAAACATAGTTTAAAACAACAGAATCAAAACAATGAGGGAGTCTACCAGTATTCAGAAGCAGAAATTAAATAATCACTATTATAATATTAATAAAAATAACGCAACCATTTTGAGTACAAATGTACAATAAACCTTTAAGCAACAAATGTAATTTAGTTTGCCCAAATGTTTAAATTTATTCGAAATTCTTAGTCAGGCTTTAAAAACACATGCAAATAATAAACTTTCAGACTAAGCTTCAATTTATTTCAGGTTCACATTTATTTACTTGCATCCACATTCATATCTATGTCACACTGCGCTTTTGACTGTTTGCCGCCATCTTGTGTCTAAATAATGTGCAGGTTAGTGTATACTCTAGTTTCAACTGTTTGGTGCCCTCTTGTGTCTGAATAATGTGCAGGTTAGTGTATGCTCCATCAGCTGTTTCTGTCAGGTTTGTTTTCGACTGTTTGGCGCCATCTTGTGTCTGAATAATGTGCAGGTTAGTGTATCTATCAGGTTAAAGTTTGAAATGACTTCTCAATGTTAACTGTAATGTCTATCAATTGTAATCCCTGCGATGTGACTATTGCGAACTTGCACATTGCGATATCGATGGTGAAACGATATATTGTGCAGGCCTAGCATGTACTAATTATTCATCATTTTTAGACTAAAGACAAAAACAAGTTTAAATAAAGGGAAAAAAAATTATGTACATTATATCAAAAATATATTTTATCTTTCCCATCCTTCACCTAAAAATAAATAAATAAATAAACAAATGTGTTAACATGTTTTATTCCACAATTAACAATATAAAGTTCATATACAAATATTACTTACAAAACAATAATTAATCAAAATAAAAACACAATTATATACATTTTAGACACAATTGTTTAAAACTCAGCTGATTGGATTCAACATTTGTTCTGCTTTCGATATGGGCATGAATATCTTTTTTTTTTAATTATGGCTTTGGAAAATACTGCAGCTCAATAAGTTAAGGTAACTCAAACCATTTGAGGAAACCAATTGCAACAAACCATTTAAGTTCAAAAACTAATCCTAATGAGTACTGTGAACTTAATCCATTCGAGTAAATGAAGCAATTTGAACACAGTAAAACCCAATAAATGAAGAGAATTGAAACCAACTGAGTACTGTAAAACCCAGTAAGTTAAGGCAACTCAAACCGTTTGAGGAAACCGATTGCTCCAAACCACGAGTGTAAAAACTAATCTATATGAGTACTGTGAACTTGCTCTATTTTAGTTGAAGTAATGAAGTATTTAATTAACTTGTTACTTTCAACACGGAGTTCAAAACTCTTTTGAGATGAGAATTAACTTTCAGTCAATTGAGTTAACTACACTCATTTCATTTGATAAAATTGACCGTTGGGTTTTACAGTGTAGATTTCTAAAAATCAGATCAACAAAACATCAGCAGTTTATGTTTCACCATTCACCAAACACAGCACATAACTGCACTCTCAAGTAAAGGGCAACCATACTGCTGTGAATACCCCCCCCCCCCCCCCTTAAAAGTCATAAGTCACATTGGCTTTTTGTCAGGAACCAAACATTACACATTTACCTTCTTCAATACATTGAGAACTCGTTACAGGAGCACATACACAAGCACAAGTCTCAATATGAAGCTGCCAATAGTAAAAAACTAAACTACACATTTTTTCTGTTACTACTTCAGTGCAGTTTTACTTTTCAATGTTTTCCCACTTGATTTCAAGTTCCTGCAATAGCTTGGACATGAACAGCACATTTACTTCCTTAATTGTGAATCTTTTCTTCAATCAGCAATAAGGCAGAAGTGTAGCAGATTAAAACATTAGGAATAAACTTTGGTGCTTTAAAACAAAAAGTTTGGTGGCACAAGTCGGTGATGCTACTTGTAGTTACAGTGTTAACATTCTCACCGGACAGACGGCTCATTTTTTTGCCAATAATAATCACACTTCTCTGGACAATCATATTTGCACTGAGTACATGAAATAAGGCCAAACCGATAAATGCCTTTAGTAAATCTGACCATTCGTTGTTTATCATCAACAAAATCACAACATTTTGCACAAGACATCATTCAATGTTGTTTTGCATTTGACTATAACAAGAATATTAAGTCCAAATAAATTACAAATATACAAAAACACATCAACAATAAGTAAACAATTACAAGCTTTATTTATATATATTTAAAAAAAAAAAAGATCAGCACATTTTAAGCAATGTAAGTACTGCTTTAACCATCACCTGTTCATAGACTAGGTGTTAGCATGAACTAACATGAGGTCTCTGTTGTGTGTGTGTTTAGTGCCACCTACAGGCATGATTTGTGCAATGACAGTCCTGTCAGATCTCAGACCTCACGTTGCAGTTTTAAAGAGCAGGAGTGCTTTAAATGCTGATAAAGGTTTGTGGATCCACCAGGTAAAGAGTGAACAGTAGTGTTTATCCAACAAGGTAAAACTAGTCATTTTTCTATGTGAAATCATATCTCAGCCTTGTGGAGAATACAGTACTGAGCATTGATCAATTTGGGGTTTTGTGGTATTGACAAAAATAAATAAATGATATATAAATAATTGTTCTTTTTTTTTTTTTTTTGGCAATCAGTTTGCTGCATTCTCTTTCATGCTCGCGCATTGGTTGGTTTATATCAATGATCACAAACTCAATTCCTGAAGAGTTGGAGCTCTGTATAGCTTAGCTTTAACCACCTCCAACTCACATTTGCCTAACAGTCTAGTATGGGGGTGCCCAAACTCAGTGCTGGAGGGCTGGTGTCTTGCATATTTTAGTTTCGACCCCAATTAAACACACCTGAACCAGCTAATCAAGCTCTTTCTAGGTATAATAAGAATTCCAAGCAAGTTTGTTGAAGGAAGTTAGAGCTAAACTATGCAGGACACCGGCTCTTGAGGACAGAGTTTGGACACTCCTGCTCTAGCATTTTGAACACCTTGAGGAGTTGGATCAGTTGTGTTTGATTAGGGTTAGAGCAAAACTGCAGAGCTGTGGTGCACCAGGAATGCAGTTTGAGATCTATGGTTTGTATGAAAGTCCTTACATGCCACGAAATAAAAAAAAAGTAGATTTTTATTGCAATGTTAAGTTTACAGACTCATATTTGGTAGTTAAGACAGAATTCTGTGAGGAATACTAAGGGGAGGGGGAGGGGGCGTTAATATTAAACAAAACTATATATCTGCAATTCCAACTTTTCTACAAATTATAAAGAGAGGGGGGAGAGGAATAAATTCGTACAATTGAAAGTTAAAAACTGAAAGAAAGAAAAAACATTCTCAGTTGCATGTTATAAAGGCAGAATTATTTGTTTTTATTACAGATTTCTGATTAAAAGTAAAACATTTTAATTTGCAATTAGCTTTATTTTTTTTTATTCAGTGGCACAAATAAGGCTTCCATTAGTTTGGGCCTGTCATGGATACATGTATTAATGACATTAAAACCACCAGCAGATGGCAGCAAGCGGCTGTCTCAATGAGGGATTCACTGAATCAGTCATTCAAATGATTTGCTACAAATGGCTGATTCATTTAAAAATGATTCGTTTAAAGTGACTGCCTTTAAGAACAGATCACCAAATCCTTAGACTTAAATGATTTGCTTTAAAAAGCAAGTGATTTAGAAACAAACAAAAACTGCTTAACAGATGCACAAATGTTCTGTTCATACTTTGTTTTAGAAACATTTTTCATTGGGAGAACAGAAACACACATAATATCATGTGTAAAATGTTGCTCGATATTAATTTTCTTGTTTGTTGCATTTGTGTACTTGAGTACAGGGAAAATGATTCTCTCAGTTTCAGTTGTGTGACATAACTATAACCAAATCATAAATAGAAACCAAAAAACCCACACAGGGATATTTTGGCTAACATAGCTAGAACAATCTAATAGGCTTCGTCACATTTGGAGTCTTAAGACGTGGAAATGAGTGACATGACATTATGACAGATGATAAATATTGCATGTCACTTCACGGCGCTTGATGTCCCTTTCCACTTAATTTACTACAACTAATTAGTGAATTTGTGCTCAATACAGCCCTACAGAATTTCAAAACATTTAAAGGGACAGTTCACCCAAAAACAAATCATCTGCCACCAAACATATCACATATCTTCAGAATACTTTGATGGTCTTCTGTTACAGTTCTTTAGGGATCACACACAGCAATCATTAACAGAATAAAGCAGCCTGGACATTCAAATAAACGTCTTTAAGAAATGCCTTTGAGATTTTGAGCAAACTGTCACTTTAAAACTGAATGATAATGATTCTGCTACAAGCTCATGAGGTAGCAGCAGAAGGTGTTAATGAAAACATTCACAAGTGAACATTTTGCTCATATATGTTATATTTTGTGTATGGGTGTATAAATATCTATATTTACATATTAATTCAGGTTGGTCAGCATTAGCATATGAATTAGATAAAGAGCAAGCTGGATGCGTTAAGGACGAAGCCATCGTTCGCTCAAGTTTTGCGTCATTGTCTAAATCATGCAGAAGTATTTGCGCACAAGTTTGCATCTGTAAATAAATGTGATGGATTATTTCTCACAGCTTGAGGTCTAACATGAGAACGAAGTCAGCAGTTTAAGAGGAAAGTTTGGATCCCTAAAGTGTGGGAACGCAGTTGTTGAGGGTGGATTTGGTTGGAGCTGAAGAACAAGGAGTGTTTTTAGCCTACATGTCTTTCTCCTTCTCTTTCTCTTTCCTCAGCTCCTTCTCGCGGCTGGCCTTCATGAAGTCGCTCCTCATGAGGCGGTAGAAGAGCACGATGTTCATGGCGGTCATGATGGCCAGACCCACGCTGCCGATGGTGTAGCTGAATAGAGGGATGAGGTCACGGTTCAGCACCAGCCAGCGGGTCATCCAGGCCAGAGTGTTGATGCGAAACACCACATACGTGCCCAGGTTGATCATGCTGTTGACTCTGTAAAATGTGCTTTTGGCCAGGTTGGCCATGCGGAGCACTTGCCTCAGGTGCAGGAAGACAGAGTTGATCTCCACCAGCAGCGCCACCACAGCAAAACCCACATAACGACAGGTCAGCACCGAGATCCCGAAACAGGTGATCACCTGACAACAAACCAGAGAGAGAGAGAGCTTTTATTCAGTGTTAATTTATTTATTCATTTATGTTTTAAAGCCATATCAGCAGCGTTAGCAATATTCATGGCAAAACCTATCCTAAATAATTAATATACATAACATGCAATCATATCGGTTTCTTATTATACATGAATTATACAAAAAAACATCAACACTGAAATGAGGGTCACACTTTATTTTGAGGGTCCTTTTGTTGAATTTAAGTTGCATTGCGTCTAGGGGAGAGCAGGGCTCCACTCTTCATACCTCGCTTACATGATTTTAGATGATTTGGCAAATCCTGGATCTTTTAATCTTGATAACTGATCTCTGGCTAATTTGGTTCTTCAAACAAGTTCGCGAATGAGATTAAAATGTCTGGATGAACTGATCTGAGATTGCTACATGTGTTGTGAAGAACTGATCTATCAATTCCCGAAATCATGATCAGCAATGCAACGATTGGCTGACAGCACAGCAGCGTAATGACATCATCTGATTATTATTCAATTGTCCATGTGAGCAAAATGACATAAAATTAGCAGTAAACGCTTTGTTAAATATGGTGTGCAAATTACTTTCCACATTTGTTATAAGCTGCAGACTTTACACTTTCATGTGTCAGGAGTATTCATCATGCAATACATATCAATGTATTTAGTTCTACATTTAGAGAAGATTTTCTTTATTATAGTAGCCTTGGCCTACTCAAGATTTTTTAATCGGCATAAGGAATTTCCCTTCAAATATTTCCTGAATAAAAACGTTCTCTTATATCATTTGAAAACAAACACATTCTATTAAAACATGTTTTGACGTCAAGATATTCCAACACAAGTCACAAATAGGTTATTCAATGTTAAATAATAGTAGGAACGTTTTGAATGCAAACAAGGAATATTTTCTACATTTTGATAAAAAAAAAAGACTGTTGTTTACATTTACCATTGTTTTAAGACTAAAACTCGTCTACCCATATTAAGTCATTGCAAAAATTGTGCGGCTCTATTAGATTTGCTCTGTCAACGCACTGATATTTTTCATCCAAGGCGACGCATGAATGCATTGTTTTGTAGGTTTTAATGGCAAGAGAAGCCCTCTATATTTGATAGTTTTTATGTATGTGGTTTAAACATGACATATGTATGAATAAAAAAGCTATATTGAGGCCAAAAGAATACTGGACTAAGGTTACATTAAGACTAAATTCCAAACCTCAATAATAAAACAATGTTAGCAAGATGAATGCGCAAAAAGCCCAACCATGATGTTAACACCTAAGTACATTACATTAAATCCTTATCCGGAAGTTACTACTTTTTCCCCCCGATTCTTATTTTTCCATTAAGTTATTATAGCTACTTCAAAAATAAAAAAATATTGTTTTTTGTACTGCAAAAGGAATACACTGTGAATGCGCTGCAGCCCCTCATATTAGAGATGCATTTATTGCAGTGCTTTCATTAACCACAGGGGGGAAAATAAATAAATACATAAATGCATAATAAATAAAAACTCATCTCTGGACAAAATATTTCAGGGGACACGGGGGAAAAAAATAATAATAATATTGGGGGGAAAGTAAAATAATAATAATTCAAAGTGGATTCAAATAAGGCATTTTTGCTTCAAAAGGTGAAAAGGGTTAAAACCTATATATCGTATTTTGTTTAGAAAATAATTTTTTGTTGGAAAGTTGTTGCACATTATATAACGCAATTAAATTAAACCATCAACAAGTATAACGGGGTTAGGGTCTGAATAAAAAATCATGTTTGTATTTGTATAACATTTTCCTCAGGACCTGTATCTGGATTAATGTACACTTTGCCATTTAATTACCAAAAACAGTATGAAAAAATCCAGATTTAAAAGCTCCAATGTTGACAAAAAAAGCAAAGCAGCATCCTGTATTACTTGAATGAAATAAAAAGTTAATACTTCAAGTACAAATGTGCTAATATTAGCCAAAAAGACATTTATTTTAAGATCATTTAAAGCATTTTCTGCACACTTCACTATTGAGTAGAATTTGTTTAGTCAGTATTGCATTAAACACGATTGAACTGCTTTACCATCAAGGTTTGGAAAATGTGGATTTTTGCCCAATGTGCCCAACCTGTTTGCAATTCCCTGTCTGCCCATTTATTTCATATTCAATCCATTACAATCATTGACAAAAGAAATAATTTACATTCACAATATGATTTAAGCATTTTTTAAAGAAGCTGTTTGACATGTTCATTTATCAACAGAAAATCATGAACAGGCCAAATGCAATCTAACGTGCTGAACTTCAGCAGCAGCTCCTCGGTCTTCAAAAGTGATCTGCTGTCAGGCGATAAGAAACAAATGAGCATGTGTTCAGAATGATCTGATAAGAGCAGCAAGAGGCTGAGGACAGAAACACAAAGGCCCTGTTGAGCAGTCCTGAATCACAATGAGTGACAGTAATCCAACCAGAGGAAAAAAACAATTCTCTCTATAATATTACTAGCAATACAACACAATCGTGATTGCGACTATCAATCCAGAAGTACTTTTTTTTTCTCTATGAGCATTTATAAAAATTCTTCAACAAATAAACAAAACTATAATAAAAAATGCAGAATAATGCAATAATGCGAGTAGTTTTAGCAACATTAAGAAACAACTTAAGTTATGATTATAACAATTTGAAATGAATTTGATCTTTAAATGTCGTTTTTTAAACTAATGTTTTAAGATTTATATTATTATTTAGATTTATACTGTTTTTTTTATTTCTTTTAGATTTAAGATTTATTTACATTTTATGGTTAAACAATGTAATCGGAAATATTTCCTTGGTAAACAAGATAGAGTTAAAACATGTATTGAATTAACATAAATTTGATGGCTTGGCTTTAGTTTCAGTTAACTATAAAATACTGCACATATCTACAGTGTGTAAATTTAACATGTGATGGTGTGGTCTATTTTTCATTAAAAAAAAAACAAAAAAAAAAGTGAAAAAAATTGACAAAACAAAGTAAAACTATTAAAATAACGGAATTAATAAAAGTGTACTATACATGTATAGTTTTTATTATCTATTTAAAAAAAAAAAAGACCAAAAAATACACTTGCTCAATAAAGACAGTTTTTAAAGAATGTCCACAAGGTGGCAGTCTATGTCAATACAAAAAAAAATCAACGTCAAAGTCAGCTTTATTGTCAAGTAACCACATGTACAGGACATTCAGAGAATCGAAATAGCGTTTTCCCCAATTAAGAAGTCCATTAAGTAAACTGACATTTTTAAAGTGGTTTAAAATAATTAAAAATGGACAAATATGTTTTCAAAAGCTTTTAAAACTTAGATTTATGCTAAACTAATGTTTATAAAACTCATGGAAGACAAAACAATCTCTTTTACCAAAAAAAAAAAAAAAAAAAAAAAAGGAAACATTTAGTACAAAAGCTAACATTATTGCCATTTAAATCAATTTATTGATATTTATGAAACATCAGTATGTTGGATAAATGGCATTATAACTCAGGTGAGAGGACAAAGGTGGGATAACATGACGTCCATAACTAGTTACATGAGCAAGAGGGACTCCTGTGATATAACTTGTTTTGTAAGGGGATAAATTGACTGGGACGTGTCTGTGATGCAGCACTGTTCACACAACACCGGCTGCTCTGTGCGGTCAGGAATCTCACGACCGTTAATTTTATTCAAATTAATGCTAGAACAGAAGCTCACAGTATATGTGTGAATCGGGCATATCATGTCTAAAGGCTTTTAACAGTCTGAAATGTAAACATGCTACAGTTCATCGCAATAATTTGTTACATTCGCACTGTTCAAGATAAAGATGCCAAATGCCTACAATACAGACATATAAGTGGAGTTGAGCTCCATCAAACAGTTTCTTTCTTTTTAACTAAATTTCAGTTTTCAAAAGATTGTCTAATTGATTATTAATTCATTTTTGATGATTTAACATTTTAATTATTTTTAATTAAGAGTAATAATCAACAATTACTTTATTTAATGATATTTTTGCCTGCCTTAAAAGGATTTTTACAAGCCACAATTTACTTGCTGAAATTATTGTGTTTTAGATTTTAAAAGTTTTCAATCTCCCTCAGATCACTTGGTTTTCACTTGAAACTTAAAAGAAAATAATAATTTTAAAACTGCATATAATGTAGTTTAAAACATAAAAGAATGACAAATTTAAATGTTTTAAGCTGTTTTTAATTACTTTTGTTTTACAGCCTGAAAAACACAATCCTGGTTCTCTTTAATTCATTAAAGATGTGACTACTGAAAAAATTCTGAAGTGTTTCAGGCAATATTTTCTGCTCATATTTAGCCAAATGCTTCAGAACTCATTAGACAGAGCTTTACAGTGCAGATGAAGAATGACCCCAAACATACTGCAAAAGCAACCAAAGATTTTGTGAAGGGAAAGAAGTGGAATGGTATTCAATGGCCAAGTCAATCACCTGACCTAAATTTGATTGAGCATACATTTTAATTGCTGAAGACAAAATTGAAGGGAAAATGCCCCAAGAACAAGCAGGAACTGAAGATTGCTGTAGAGGCCTGGCATGAGCATCACCAGAAATGAAACCCAGCGTCTGGTGATGTCTATGCGTTCCAGACTTCAGGCTTTAATTGACTGCAAAGGATTTGCCACCAAGTATTGAAAAGTGAAAGTTTGATTTATGATTATTATTATTATGTCCAATTACTTTTGGTCCCTTAACAAGTGAGAGGCACATATACAAACTGTTGTAATTCCTACTGATTTGGATGTAAATACCCTCAAATTAAAGCTAACAGTCTGCAGTTAAAGCACATTTTGTTCATTTTTATTTTAAATCCATTGTGTTGGTGTACAGAGCCAAAAATATTACAATTTTATGGATGTCCAAATATTTATGGACCTTACTGTACAATACATTAAATCCTTTGGATTTAGAAAGTTGTTACTACTTTATTTTGGTTCTTA